AATGAAAATTTAATTTTTCACATATTGGCATTTTCAAGGTGTGACTTTGAAGTTCCATGGGCTTGAAGACCCATGCTAGTCACATTTTCTGAAAATCCATGATACGTATATTTTATTATTAAAAATTGACGGTCATTATGCTGTTAACCATTATGTAATATTGCATCAGAATAGAAGAAAACACAATTTTGGGTGCTGCTGCCATAATGACCATTATGGGAAAACCATGTTAGTGATGATTGCCAAATGTTCAAAAAAGAAATACAGGACTAAAATGCAGCCTGAGTTGGAAAAGCAGTCTAATTGGCTTCTTTTTCTGGAAGTTATACATTTTCAAAGTGTGAACTTGAAATGCCATGGGCCTGAAGCCTTATGTTTGTTACACATTTTACTTACATTGGTATTACCTGTTGAGCATAATTAAAATTTGATGTTGAATTTGCAGTTTAACATAATGTACTTTTGCATCAGAATTGACAGTAGCCTATTTTGTGCATAGTTATTTCCTGCTTTTTGTCTGTACATTTGACAGCTTTGCTGCCTTGTTGTTTTAAAAGTTCTGATTGCATACGAAAGGTGAGAATGTAAGGCAGTTAAAATATTGCTGGTATTATGCATGTATTTAACATTGTTACAGAGATAACGAGAAATTCTGATATATTTCTGAAATACAATTTAACTGGTACTCTCCACCAACAACTTGACATTGTTTGAAACTTGAAGTGATTTTTTTGTTTTATTCTTCCAGGTCTTACTCTTACTACATAGATGTATCTATGGATGACAAGGACTGGGTGAGAGTGGTGGACCACACCAAATATTTATGCAGGTCATGGCAGAATTTGCACTTTCCGGCAAGGGTTGTAAGGTAATTGCCTTTTTAAGGGATTACGACAGTTACTTCACAGAATCATTATTTTAATGCAATTCATTTCTTTATTGTTGAAATGGTCAAACATGGCCACTGGTACAACTAGTGTAATAATGTTCCGTTTATAAATATGACATGAGAAGAATGTTTTTTCAGTTTCCTGTATTCATTTGCAGGTTTCTCAAGATTGGTGGAACTCACAACACAGTAAACAGGGTTTTTCATGCAGTCGCATTTGAATGTCTGTACAGCACGAAACCATTTAGGCTGGAAAGAGGTTTGCTAGGTGAGTACAACATCAAACTATTGACATGCTTTTGACATTAAAAGCAGTAACACTTGATATTGTTTTTAAAATTCTATTGATTGAGTAATTTAGTACAAGACTGATATTTCATTTTTGAGGGTCATGATTCTTTTTCATCTTAAATATTTAGAGAAGCAAGGTTATTGGAAAAAATATGGCATTGGTTAAAATGGTGTGTATTTACAGAGGACATTCACAAAGCCCTTTGAATATTACATAAAAACAAAAACTCTCTTTTTCAGTCCCTTCTGAAAATGTGGCTACCATTGAAGCCAGTGCCTGTGTGATTGAGGGGGTGAGCAGGAGCCGCAATGCTCTGATCAATGGTGACACCAAGAACTATGACTGGGACTCGGGGTACACCTGTCACCAGCTTGGAAGTGGTGCAATAGTGGTGCAGCTAGCACAGCCATATATCATAGGGTCTATGAGGTAACTGGGCAATACCTGTTTGGCATTCATGGCTCATTTACTTGAAGAGCTGTAATAAAGTTAACATGGTTGATAAAGGAACTTTTTAGATTGATGAAAATTATATTGAATTATATGAACATAATACTCATCTAGGTAATATCTTGTTACTATCTTATTATATTCATTATCATAAAAATGTAATACATTTATAGACATTGGCCGAGGACAGTATGTTGTTATGCAGACCTCAGAAAAGTGATTATAACATCGGCAGATTATTCAAAGTTCCAGATAGGATAATACCTTAAATATCTTGAGCATACTCATGGTATTTGTTTTTTTTTTCTTTTTTTTCAGAATGTTGCTATGGGATTGCGATGACCGTAGTTATAGTTACAAGATAGAAGTATCCACTGACCAACAGACTTGGCATACAGTGGCAGACAAAACAAGGGAAAACTGCAAGTAAGTATATGTGAATATTGGCAGTGTCTACCTTAATATGTTACTCACATACAGACCAAAATACAACTGTTGAGATAAGAAGCAATACAGTACTTACAGCATATTAAGAGATATTTTATTTCTTTCAGGTCATGGCAGACCATAGTTTTTCCACCAAGGCCAGTCACATTTGTCAAGATAGTTGGGGTTCAGAATACAGCAAATGAAGTATGTAGACAAGATTTGAAAGTCTTATGCCATCATATTAAATTAATTAAATTCAAAAGACCTGGGTTAAGATTTTATTGAATTTAAATAGAACATTTGTGATCAATATACTTAAGTGTTATTCTGGTTTTGATTTGGGTTTAAAAGAAATATTATAATAAATAATAGTGATGTGTATTGAGATATCTGTGCTATAATCAGGCTGTGATAAAATAATTTTGTCCAATATGAGTATTTTATGAGGTATTGGTTTTTATATGCAGACAATTCTCCTGTATTCAGTATGTTACAGAGACTCATGTTGCTTTTTTCTTGTAGGTTTTTCATTGTGTTCATTTCGAGTGTCCTTGTGACTCCTTGTCTGTGGCTCGCTATGCCCGGGGTGTGGATGAACCAACCCCCCGCACCACCTCAAGTCCTGAGGGAGCAGCAGCCGGTTCCTCTGCCATGCCACAGACACCACAGATGCCCCTTCCACCCATGACAGAGCAGTCCAGTAATCCTGACATGACGTAACAGCATGAAAGACTCGGATAACTACAGGCTTGTATCTAACACAACCTGTGTTCAACAAAACAGACATCAGTGCAAGTTTAAAGGGGTGGTGCACTAAAATTAAAGCAGCAATGAGATTGCTGTGAAGACTGAACTCCATGTCAATTATGATTTTTCACGTTGGCAGTGTTACTTGACATTTATTGGAAATGTTTTGCAGAGTTGTTTAGGTTACTTAATCATGGGTCCCAAGCATTAACTATTTATATTAATTTAATGAAAAGGTTCAAGCAGAATTGGAATAATAATTGTTTTGTTTTGTTTTTTTTTTTGTTTACACAAAGTTGATACATTTATGATTGCTTAAAGGAGTATCATTTGCTTCTGGAATCACTGTAGTATAAGTATTGGGTAACTGGTATATTCTTCCTTAACACAATTTTATCTGTTGCCAAAAATCACAAGTGCTATCACTACATCCCTATAACTATTCGCACGTTAAGGCTTAGGGCAAATTGTAGATTATTTGAGTAGGTTAAGCCTTGGATAAACTGTACAGTGGAGTGAGCAACAGTCTTTATATTTGCTGTTACTACAATATATTTGCTACTGAGTAGCTGTAAAATACATACGACTTGTACTAAAACTCACTGCTCAATCACATAACTTCTCTCAGATAAATATTATATTCTGATGCAAGATGCTTAAAATAGAAACATTTGAGTACTTGTTAAACTATTTTAAATAGCGTTAGCAATTTTCTTGTCAAGAATCTTTAACCCACATGAAAAAAAAAAGACAGTATTATGTAAGAACTGGGAAGATATTAACTGTAAAGATTGTTACTCAGAGCAGATTTCATAATGTTCATCTGCATGGTTGTGCTTCCACTAAACTTGCCATTCCACTGTTGCGAGGAACAATTCCTTCTTCTGAAGTAGGACTTTAGTATATGAATATTCATACAAACTTTTTTCAAAGTGATAATGCTTACTTCCTGCTGTGGAAAGTGCTAAATTTTCATGAGGTAAACATATTCAGTAAGCAGCTTGTTTGATAGAGTACTTTTTTATGTATACTGTAAGGCAAAGATATTTTTATTATTTTGTTGATATTGGTAAATTCAGAATTAACATAACTTTGCAATTTGCTCTACTTTCAGTCATTTGAATTCACAAGTGCACTCTTTATTATACCAAAGAAAATGCAATTTTTTTTCTTTGTTTTAGATTAATTATTCTTATACATGTATGGTCATAACGATTTGAAATTAACTTTAAAACATTAAACATTGAAATTAGGGGAAATGTTTTGATTCAATAAATGTGAAATGTTATTTAAAACAGAAAAAATGTTTTGTCTTTGGGTCTGGCTCAAATTAAAGTTCCAATTAAATTTCTGTATACAGGCGCTATTGCCAGTCTTAGTAATCCTGGGAACTTTGCTGAAGTTTTCCTGCCACAACATCAGAAGGAGGAGAACTTTCCCAACACTCTTCACACAATGCAAGAAGCTACAAGAGAGAAACCATTTTCACATCAGTTATGTATCACATTAATCTATACTTTTTCAGATCCATTGCATTAGACATGATTTTACTCTTAATCACAATTTCACATAACACAGTTTGTTGATCATTATTTAATATTGGAGTCCGTCCAACATACACGTAACCTCACCTTATACTTGACTAATTATAATGATTATTTTTTTTCTTTTACCTAGATTCAGAATTTCTTATACCTGTGTTCCGTATATTCCTAGTTGCCCTGTACTTTTCATGGCATGCAGGTGTTGTGTAGGTATGGCAGGTTTGGCTGGGAAAAATTTAGCATAGTTTTTGGAAAGATTGCCACTCGCTAGTGGTTCCATGTTCTTCTTTCCCACAGGTCTTTTTAAGTTCTTCAATTTTACTTTGCGGTTTGCAGATTTGGTTTCATCCCAGCAAAAAGTGACACTTCTGTTCAGTTTTTGTCTGTTTCCTAAGTGGGGTTTAGAGTCGTTTTTATACCCACCGGTACTTTCTTGGCCAGGTAAATATATGGTTTCCAATGTGTCACTCTCATAACCCTCTTCCAGATTGCTGAGGCCAGTTTTGACTGAAGTGTTCGAGGATTTCATTTTCTGTATAATTAAATTGGCATCAGATATTAGTGAACTAACAGATTCAGTGTCAGAGTCTCTCAGCTGGGTCACTTTGGGTGGTTTAACATTGCATTCCTGAGTGTCTATAACTCTGTCCACTAGTGACCGTTGCGGTGCCTTATTATTGGACACCAGGTGGCCAGATACCTTACGCTGATGTGGTAAGGCAAAATCTTCATAGGTGTCATCCCAACAAAAATCTGTCTCATCATCTTTGATGTTATCCTGGCCTAAACTGTTCAGTTTAGGAAGAATCCTTTGTTTCCTGAGATATTCCTCTGTGAGGGGAGATTTTGGTGGAATAAGTCTCTTCTCTGACAAAGACGACTTCCCATCTGTATCTGTTTCAAGTGAAAGTGCCTGATGTTTTCCTGGTCTGTTACCTGGTAATGGTTTACTGCTGGCATAGTTCGATTTGGACATAGCTGAAGGTGTACTGTACACAGGTTGCTCAGTATTAACTCCCTTGAGATGCACTGGTAAGTCGTACCTCTCGGCAATCGGATCTGCTAAAGACTTGCTACCAGTCTGAGTTGTATTTTGCTTATCAGCATCTGGATTGTTGAATTTGTCATCAGAATCATTGAGGATGATATTGTGTTTCAAAGACTGGACATCAGATATCCTGACATACAGGTCTTCTCTGCTTGTGTAGAAACTGTCTGGTGGACTTACAGGCAGATAGGGACTCTCGTGATATCTGCTTGAAGTGGATTCTGAGCGAGAGCGTGGAGATTCCCTTGAACACCATGGTTGTGGCTTAACATCAGACTTCTCCGAGGTATGAATGTTGTGATTTGATTCTGAACGATTGTGTTTTTTGTATTGGGAGAGTGATGCAGATTTAGATGAAGAGGGAATCTTTTTCATTTCATAGCAATTCACTGAGGAGAGGTCACTGTTGGTCAAGGCAAACTGACCAGTGTCGATGTTTCTGCCCCCATGAAGTGACTGCTGACTACCAAACACACTGTCAGAATCTGTTGCCATGCTATGCCTTTGGGAAAAAGGACTGGGTATGGTGCTGTGACCATAACTAATGCCAGAGTCAGTACTAACCACAGAATATCTGTTCTTAGGGACATTACCATTTTCAGCACTGCTGGAGCTCAATTTTACATTTGGTCTGACAGTTTTGTGACGGGCTTTCTGTTTCTGGATGAATCCACTTAAAATTGAGTGACTTTCCCCCATGCTTCTCAGCGGTTGAGTGTATATTCCTTTTCTTGTTCTAGGTTCATTTTTGAAGTACATCCCAGGTCGTGTTCCCAGTGGTAGTCCCTCTGGTCTCAGCACCACACCACTGTCATGGCTGCACGTGCTCTCTTGAGAGGTAGAGGAGTTTCTCTTTTCTGCACTGTCTTCTGGAGTAGTTGCTGCATTTGTGGAGATGGATATATGGATGCTGCATAAATGTGGATTAGTACTCCTTATGCCTTTCCCATTTTGCATTTCAGCAGTATCAAACCCTGATGTAATGAGACTGGTCTGCTTCTTTACAAATTGAGGCTGACAATCCTTTTTTGATCTGGGCTGGTGCTGTCCAGTTGCACATGCAGTGTGGACTTCTGCATTTGTGAACGAGGTAAATTTAGATTTGATGGGCAGGTTTTCATTTTGGAGATTTGTATGTAGCTGAGTTGGAATAAAGGCACTTGCAGCTTCTGGGGCTTCCTGTAGCCGTGGTAACAAGGGGAGCTTTCTTTTAGGTCTGATACCATGTCCAGAGGTTCTTGATGATTTTGGCTCAACATAATTGGGATCTCTGGCAGTGGAGAGCTGGGTTGTCATCTGACTGTCTCTGGACTGTATGCTATCGACACTAGCAATGGACAAAGTATCATAACAAAGCTTGTAGCTACTTTGAAAATGTTCTTTGGGTAATGTCTGTTGATTGCCTTCCATGTTTTTATTGTAATTTGTTGCCAGCTGATTATATTTTGTTGCATCATCATCTTCATCGATGCTGTACAAATTTTGGACCTTTTCTTTTTTGTGTGACGGAACCTCTGGTAAAGTTCTTTTCCTTGTCCTGCCAATTCTACCTTTTGAGTGAGAACCTGGATGTAATGTGGACGTAACAATATCTGGAAGTTTCTTGGTCCTATTTTTAGAAAGTGGTTTGTTCTTTTGATTGCTTTTGGTTACTCCAGTGGCTGAGTGAGTGACTGAGGGTGTTTGATGATTTAATACACCCAGCATTTCGAATATGATCAATCCCAAAGCTTTCATGTCTGCTTTGAATGGATTAGAATCCATTTCTCTAATTGCCTTTTTGTGAAATTTTGGCATTTTCATAACTGTTGCATTTTCAAAGTCTCCAATAATTGCCTGAAGGGACTTGGTCTGAAAAAAAAAGAAGAACATGTTACAAAAAAAATGTGTTAACCATAAGTTTGGCTGCTTGAACAGTGGTCAGGACCTTCATTTGTGGACAAGAAATTCATTAATCACTGGGCCCAAAGTAAAGATTATGGTCCTTAGGTATGGACAACATATCCATTAAAATAACAGCAGTTTTACAGTGTGGCATTCCTTTGGAATCCTACCAGCGACAGTCTCCACAGTGGCAGTTCAGTTGATTTATTAACTTAAGCCATGTGATAAATGATTGCGGGAGTGGAGTTGTCTCAATTAAAGCAACCATCTTTCACACCACCCTTCAACCTTGTTTCTTTCAAGTGGCAAGTGGCATGTTTTAAATGCAAGTCCTTTCCTCCCAGTCAAATTTATTACTGTTGGGTAGCCAATTTGACAATGCAGTGTTCCTCCTATTAAATAAGCTGCCCAGTGATACCTGTGCCTTCGGGCTGGAGGCACTAAACATGGTCATCAACCTAGCTGGAATGCATATAAGATGTCTCCCCTTACTTTAATATACATATTTGGCATAGTGACTTTGGTCACAAAGGCTATTGTGCACTCCAAATTAAAGGTACTACAAACTGTGTATCTTTAAATTTTAATTGATATTATCCTGTGGCTGGTGGATCCATTATGAGGTTATCCCACACACTGACCACACACTTAGACTAAGATATTGCAATTTTACAGCCTGCTAAGCCAAACTGATGTTATTTGAATTGTGATACACTAGCTACACATGACAAAGGTGAAGAGAGTGTTTTTATTGCACACCAGTAAAACACTTCTTTGATATGAGTATGCTTCGGGTATGTTGGTTGAGTATCAGTATTGCATAATACTGAAAACAAAATGTTTCACCATTGTTATTGTATTGCAGAAGGAAAGTACTGATTGTTTACGCATAACAGTTTTCTTACATTTAATGCGTTATCATGTAAGTAATGAAAGGCAGTCAGATGGAGAAGCAATGTTTGGTGTTTCAAGTACTCAGTTAAGGATGTGTCATAATCTACAGAAGTATTTGCACAAAGCTCGGGCACTTAAGCCACAGAAATGTCCTCCTGTACCTGTAGATTTGCCAACCTCTTGGTATATTAGCTTCTGACATCAAAAAATTTCTTTTCAGACTTCAAAAATATGAATTGTAATCTAGTCACACTAAATATATACTTCATTTTAAAACATTGATGAATATTTGATTGAAAATTCACAATATAATTTTCTGTCCAACACAAAGGCAGTTTCTACATATTTTAGCATGCTGACAGTATTTTTAGGGGGTTGAGGTGAACATGACATGAAATGTTTTTAGGACATGGTCAGTGTAATTACTAATCTCATTCATATTAAGGTAAGAGGATTATTCTGCACTATTAGGGCATTTTACTTAGGTCAAATCATATAATTGCTGTTCCTAGCTATTTAACTGGGTGTTAAGTACTGAGATAAACAGATGGCTGGTGTCCCCATTACTGTCATTATCAGGTAATCCTTTAATTTCCCAACCAGGCATTATTGCTTAATATAACACTAAACTTGATCTGGAGTACAGGTAAAATTGAGAATGACTCCCTATGAAATTGTTTTAATTATTTCAGTGGCTTGTTGCACATTGAAAGCATGGTATTGATTTTCTCAATGCATTACAAAAAAAATAAATAATTAAATAAATAATAATAATAATAATAATAAGGTATTAAAACTTTTTGACAAATATTGTCAGTTGTATTAAATTAAAACATACTGTGACAAACGTTTAGCAACTCCTGCAAACGGAAAGGTTATTGTCAGGGAACAAAACACTACCCCCCACCTGCAGCCACAAATTGTATCTATTCAGTTACAGGATGACACAGACACTATTCAAACTGAGAAATGAAAACAGCGCCCTGTGCTTAAAATGCACTCTGTTTTGCCTTAATGGCTACAGATATAAATTGAGGAAATGAAGAAGTTAAAATGAATGTGTATGCACCTGTAGTGATCCCTGGACAAATATGGTCTTGGTGGTCAAGTTATTATGGACAATGCCCAGCTCATGCAGGTGTGCTAAGCCTCTGCTTATATCTGCTGTCAAGTTATGCAGGACCACCTCTGTCACAGCATGGCCATGGTGCTGCAAAAAGTCATACAGTCTGGCAAGATGGAAGTAAGGTTGACAGATTATTCTGAAAAAAAAAAGGGAAAAATTGGCTACATAATTTATACAATAAACATTTAACTGCATCTGAGAGAAAACTTTTTTAAAAGTGAGTAAGAATGATAGATATGCAATGAATATTCCAAAGCTTTGATCCTTAAGAGCTTGTCCACGAGAGAACCAGCCCAGGGTGGCAAGGTGGGGGTCAGCAGATTTCAACCAAATTTGTTGTATGGAGGCATATTAGGAAGTTATTCATGAGTTAGGAAGGAATCCCAAAAATATCCTTTCTTCAGAGAATTATAGCCTATTATANCACACTTAAACTTCTTTTATAAGCTCTTATTTATTTTTCAATACCTGAATAAACCCTCCATTAATAAAATGCTTTATCATTGTATTATTATCAATTTTTATACCAACCTAGACTCCTTTTGCATCCAGTTGTAATCCACACTCTCAATGTCACTTGGGAAGTGGAAATGATTAGCCCTCCACAGACATGGTGCAAGATTCTCATGCTCTGACAGGACAAGTCTGTCATACACCGCCTTCTCAGTGGTCCACTTGTCTCTCAAATGTGGAGGATAGAGCTTCACTGTCCCTTGTTTTACCAGACCTTCATCTCCCTGAAGCCATTTTACTTTAAATTTCGAGGGCCCATTCTGTTATGATGAAGAAAAATGGTAAAAACATCTTAAATCATTTGGCAACCATGTGGACTTTTGTTCTGTGTTCAAACTAATAAAAAATTAAGAACTTAAGGGCAGATTACATGGACACAATTGTTCATGAGAGTGGATTTTGGTTACTTTTACTTCAGTGTGCAATCTTAACTTTGTATTTTTGATTCGTTCGAACCAAAACTTGTTACAGACCTTTTTTAAATACAGCTTTGGGCAAATTCATTACCATCTCTTGCCATTACATTGCATGTGCTTGCTGTCAAACTGAATAATGTTTTTTTAATGAGAAAGTTTGAATCCCTCCCTCCCCCCCCCCCCAAAAAAAAAAAAATTGCTCCATAATTTTTCGAAAATTTTACCCCTATAACCCATAAAAATATTTTAAAACCAAACAGAATAGGTTGTTGAAGTGTTACCTATAAAGACACATTTACTTAACCTTTCAGAAAAGAATGTGTTTAAAAAAAGCTTATTTTTTAAAATTCTTGTTTCTTTTAATGGTCCCTCATAAATGTCTTTGCATTTAATTGTGACTCGAGTTGTGAAGAAGCTGCTTGGAACAGATTAGTTTTCTGCTTTGAAAATCGAGATCTGAATGCTCCTTTTGACACTGGGGGCTTCAGGTTATTGGTCGTCAAAACAAACTCTTGATTTCAATTTGTCACATCACTTGACGCACCTTCAAGTCGTGCTGACACAATTTAGATTTCCCAAAATTCATTCCCCAACAAACAATGAGTAACAATAATTCTTTACCTTTTTGTTATGCTTGATATCCTTGTTTATTTTGCAATTTTAAACCCGGGGATTAAATTTTGGTGGTTAAAATAGATCAGTTACGTATTTGTTACAAAAAAAGTTTCATTTACACATTTTTATTGTTGTTTTTGGTACTTCTAATATTTACATAGAAATCTGATATTAAATTAAAGGTAGTTATTTTTGCATAGCAAAATAAATCTATCCAAGAGGGTGGTCAGAAAATACTTACTGCAAGGAATTTAAACTCAGAGTTAAACATTTGTTATAATTGCTTTGATATTATTATATAGATGTTTCAGTAAACCAACTTCTTTCAAGAATTTCTAAAACGATATGATATGACTGCACCTGTTAAGAGTAATCTGTACTAATTTATGAAGTTTATATCCCTCCTTCATAATTTCTACATGATCCAAATAAAGCAGTAAAACCCGATTTGATTTTCATTTCATTCAAGGTGCATACTTTAATTTAATGTAATTGTAGAATAAACATAAATATTTACATATTTCAAATTTATTTAGCTCACAATTGTGCCCTTTGATACTAGAATCTCGGTTGTAGGTTGCGGGCCTTTTGTAGTTTGTTACCTTTCACAGATTGCCAGGCAAGGGAGTGAGGAATCTAACCACTGCAATGAGCAACTTGTGTCATCTGTAAGGCATACTAACACCCTTCATTAGGTATAATATTTACATATAGCCAGAGGGGAGATATGCAAACCCAATCGAATGAATATTTTACACCTCACTGAATGGGCAGTTAAACTATTTTCAAATAATTTTTCCACAAAGAATTGCCCTGTCTCACATTTCATTATGACCTCTGTGTGCTTTATACATTGAGCTTTTGTGACTATGAGCTAGCTTGAAAGCAAACGTGAAAGATTTTGCGAAGCCTGGTTGGCTGTCTTGTAGGTTACTGAAGGTACTAACACTTGCACCAAAAGAGTGAGTTATCTCCTGCATATGAAAATCAATCATTTGTAAGTGTCAGGGAAAATTGTTTATTTTTCCATCAGTTATACTCTTGGTAGCTTAAGCATGAACTATGGGATAATGATCTTAAGTGATCACCATGATTTCTTCAATTGGGATTGCTGACCTCAAGTAATGTCTAAGGTCAAAGTTGCAAGTTTAGCCTTGGTGCATTCAAATAATGTTCACTCAGTGCATTGTGCTACAGCTAGACAATTGAGTGCACTTTATAGTCATGTCTTTCAAAATTAATATTCAGACATCCTTTTTCATTCAAGTAATCATGAAATGTGACAGAAATATCTGCAGTAACGTATTTAAATTCTTGAAGTAATACTGTAAAAAATTATGCCACAACCATATTATGTGAAATGATGGCCAAATGCACATGCATGTATTTGAGGATTTAGGATTTTGCTAAAGGAGCTGGACACACACACACATATATGGGTTTACTTTGGTTTTGCTCAACTTAATTGAAGTCTCAGGTTATACTAGTAAACCCCTTTTTGCTTTAAGGACATGAAATAAATGTCAAACACAAAGAGAAGAGTCTGTAACGATGAACAGCAAAGTTATTGTCACCCTTTTTATGGAATTTGGTACACATTTCAATGGAGAAACATTTTTCAAAACATACAAATTGTTAGAATTTCTTAAGCATTTTTTATGGTTATTTTATGCTCTGTTTGCACAGACTGAAAGAAGAGCATTATTATCAATCTATTTTTAAAATTTAGACATATTTTTCAGAATGAATAGGTGACAAGTTTTGAGGTGACAGTTGAATAAAAAGGTTTATGGGTGATAAATACTAGCATTATGTATCATGTTTTCATTTGGTTTGCATGTGTGACTAGAATTTAGCTGTTTGTTTTGACATACTTTTTTCTATTTTATGAAACAACTTCATAATTATTTATCTATTCATTCAGTTATTTATTGTATTTCCTAATTTATATACTCATTCATTAATTTTTTGTGCATATTCAGTTTTCCAAAATGGCATATTGGATTATTATTGTTAACATATGATCGAGATTGTTTTATCCCTATTAATCAAAAGATATTAATTATTACCACATAAAAGCACTGTTATTAACTGAGATCTTTTGATGTGACTGTATGGCAGAGGTAGTTTGCATGAGCTATATGGAGCAGAAAAATTAAATCTGTCAGACATAACAGTAACACTACTAAATTTCACAAATACTATATTACTTCAAAGGGGAGCACGCCCACAAAGCCATCAACTATGGTCTGATCAATATTTTGATATGATCTTGAAGTTGGGGTGAAGTTACAGCTGGTGCATTTTAATGTGGCCTTACCATATTCACATATAACTAGTAACTAGCATTAATCCTTTCCATGTTACAGGTGTAAAACTAAGTGTCTGATATGGACTATGGGCAACAACTATCAATAGCATTAATCAACATCCACTTAATGGAATATTTCACATCAAGGATCTAATTCTTTAAAAATGAAAAATATTTGAAGAAATGTTGTATAAATTATCAACAGTTTATCTCTGATTTTACACAAAATAACACAAATACAAAAGTATGCATTCTGTCACAAAAATCATCCAACCTCACCTTCTTGTTTATTGACAAAACTTGCATGTCTTCCAGTTCAAAGGGTGCATCCTCCTGTCTCTGTGTCACACGTCCACAGCAACACTTCATACTAGACAAACTGGCACACGGATGTAAGACTGTTGTAAGACTAACACACAATCCAAAAATGCACAGCTCTTGGGCATCATTAATGTTGTAATCCCCGATGAAGGATAAAGTAAGCACTGTTAAAATAATTGTCCAACATATCAAGTTGGCTGCAACTGGTAAGAGAACTTTGACTGCCATCTCTTTATTGGAAGGAATCGTCCTGAGCTTTGCAACATTGTATTTTTGTACCCTGTTGTTTTTAATTGTCAGTTTTGCTATTGCTGCTATAGCAAAACAGAGCCCTGTAAAGATGCTGATCCAACTTATGGACAGCACTATCACTGCATATTCCCAGCCCTTTTCATGGGGTAACTGTAGTGGACTGCATGGTATGGCAGTGGCATCATAAGAACTTTCAAAATAAGGTAAACCCATGTAAGGCAGCGCAGTCACAGTGGCAGAGAAAATGGTAATTGTTACTATAATGATGCAGTAATTATATATATGCATTTTTTCATTCTGTGAAGATGGGGAAATGAAAAGAAGAGAGGTACTTGTTGGCACCAGCCATAGGATAATTTGTGCTGAAAATGTTCCCAAGAATCCAGCAATTCTACATAGATGTTTTTCTTCATCTGACAGATATCCTCTGAGCACATGAAGAATGAAGGATGTTCCCAGCAACACATAGCAGCTAAATGTGAGGACAAAAATGAGATTATACAGCAGAGGGTGTCTTTTGAGTTTGCAGTATATTCTGCTGCAGATAAGGCTGAATAAAAACACTGCATTCAAACTCAAACCAAGCACAGCAATCCCTGTAGAAATGTGGGAGAATGTATCCACAGTAACAAGGATCATTTTGATAGATGAACTGTCAGAATATAACACTTGGCAGGTTACAACTTTATCTTGTTTAGAATGTCAACCTTTTCTACTTAGTACTTGTGGATCCTTTTTTTTTTCTTGACAAAACTGATATGAATACTTCATCTGTTTCATGCTCATTGGATACATACGCCTTGCTGTGTGGTGACTGGAATAGAAAAAAAAAATGAATACCAAAAACTTTTGAACCTATCATAATTTTTTATAAGTAAACTGGATTTCAACCTTTAAATCATTTAAAATGCAACTTAAAGTATCATTTTTAAATGCAACTTAAAAATGATACTTTAAAATGTACACATCATTTTCTTTAAAATCCTCCTTATATCATTCTCTAGGTCTAGCAAACACAATATGATGTTATCTTGGAGAGTCATTTACCCATGTTTTAAAAGATGACACTTCCTTGTCTTGACCCCACCTAGCTTCAGTTCAGTGACACTGATAAGGTTTTAAAGTTAGTTCATTTTTTTGCCTCCTTTATGTATCCTTTAAGCCCACTGAGAGGAAAGTAATCCAAACTTTGAGATCATAAAGTAATCTGGATTACTAGCTGTGCCTCCTCCCTGATCTCCATACTAAAGTAGGTATCAGAGAGAAGAAGACATTCACGATGGAGGAAAAAGGAGCTGCAACACCATTATATTTCATTTCCAGGTGCACAGAAATAGAGAATTGCATGTCTGTTCCATTTAGGTAAGTGCAGGTCTCTTCACAATGTTAAAGGCAATGTGCATTTGATTCTTTTTTTCTTTTCATTTGTGATAAAATATACAACAGGATGTATCAAGTGTATCAAGTATCATTTACATTCAAAAACATTATTAATTTTTTCCTGTTTTTTTCCTAATTGTATATAATCACTTAAAAAAGTATAACCAATGTTTTATTGTTATTGTGCGTTTTCTGTCACAAAACATCACATGAAATGCTTTTGGACAAAGCCACTAGTTTAAGTGAATGGCATTTCCACTTATAACAACACGAAGATTGCTATGCAATCGCTCACAGCAGCAGCAAGACATTGTTCCACAAAATTTACTGTACTGAATTATCTTGTAATTGACTACAAAAATTGCCCCTCAATTTCCTCTGGTGATGCCCAACACTTAAAATTGATGATGATTTTCATGTCAGACCACATTGAGGAAATCCATTACATTGTCTCAATACATTTGGACCAACTCTGGGTTAAATTTCAAGGTTTTGTTGAAGCCTCTATTAGATGTAATTTTGTTTGGCTTGTGCCATGCAGTACCATACACCAATCTTAGAAATTGTGATGCAATAGCCCACTTATAGCATTTGAGTATAATTTAAGAGTAGAAGGAAAGGGATAAATGCAAGTCAAATTATTGCACACTTTAAAATGATATTTTAATATTATTAAAATAACGAAACCCAAATAACTTCAGCGTAACTTGGACACAAGTTAACTTAAAGAAGTTCTCAGAGGGAATGTATTACAATTAAAAGTACACTCCATGAAATTTACCCACCAAAATATATTTTCCCAAGAAAATAAGCCATTTTCTTGTACTCATGAACCATATTTAACTACCCCTTTCTACACATAGATTTGACCTTTGATAAAATTAATAAAGGTTATTTTTAGCTTAAAATGACTGACCAGTTATTATAACACCCACCATTTTCCTATAAGCTCAAAAATGGAAATTTCAACATAAGGTATGCCCCAGGAAAAAACTATTTTAAGGTGTTAAATCATTTTTAAGGTGTACATAAGGTTTTATAGGAAATTGTGGATGCCAAAAATATACATTTTGGGGATTTTCAAACCCATGGAGTGTACCTTTAAACTAATGTGGACCACAAAATTTTGTTTTGTTTAGAGTTGAGGAAAAACCTGAATCATTTTAATACAATATATACCATTCAAAAGTATTTGTTATTTTTGTTAGATTGTAGGTCTTGTTCTATTTTTCTAATATTGATAATGTAAAACCCGGGCCTGCATGTCTTTCCACTTAACAAATTTCCTAAAGATAAATTAGAATCCTAAAACTGCCTTTTTTTTTTTTTTTTTGCTTGTCTCACCCTATTTACCCATGCATCTATATAGAGAATCTCCACCATTCTCCATCCTTTATCTAAGCAAAGCAAGCATCTAGAGTGCAACGTTTTAGCAATATACCAAGGGTGGCTTTTATTTGAATAGTGGGAAAAATCATGCACTTTAATGTTAAAACACTTTAATTTACGTTTTTTATCTATTAGATTTATATATGTATGCATTAACAAATGTGCTACATATAAAAAAACTAAATAGTAAGTGCCAATGTTAGTCTTTGGGCAACGCGTGCGCCACTGCTAAGCGGGAGAGAGGGTGGTCGAACGTGCGCGAACATAACCCAGCTTACAAGATTAGCGATAAAGTTGCGCAAATGATAAAGAACTTGACCCATGGTTTAGTGTGTTTCTCTTTTCGTAAGAGCAATTCATTAAAAAGTACAGGTGTGCACGACCAGCTTGTCTGTTGCGAAAGTTTTCAATGTTGCTTCATTGGAAAAAAATGATCTACCACAGGGGCTCAGGATAGCCCAGTGTTAAATAATTACAATTTATAAGAAGAGTTTCTACTAAGAACTAATATTCTCGACGCGGTGTCATTTCTCTATCTATTAAGATTGACAACCCCAACAGCATGCAAACGGTACTTAACCTCTTCACGATATATAGCGTCACATTTTAAAGCAACTCATTCATGTCCTAACTATATAACGTAGACTGCGACGAAAAGAACTCTCCTATTGTTTTACTCACCTTTCTGTGCCTTTGCTAGTTCTTATACATTCCTCGTCGTGAATCTACTTGACAAAATGGTAGAGCAATAGTGTCTGTTGTTACACTCTCCAGTTTGTGTTGATATATATAGTATGCTTGGCTATTTATTACGGTTCTCGCATACAATCGACACTCAGAACAATACGGCTCAGCTAGCTCAGGTGGGGAGATACCAGTAACGACACCTATTTGGAGAAGTGGAAATTTTCAGATAACAGTTCGAACAGGAACATTTTAATTGTGGTTGTCAATCTCGGAGTGTAGAAATCCAGAATGCTCCAATTACAAGTTTTAACTTAAATCTTTAAGTTAAAGACTCTCTTCTTGATTTTTCTGTTTTGGGGCATTGTACTTAGGCCCCCTTTACACTGGACGGCGTCCTTTCTGCGTCCCCTAGTACGGCCCCGTTTGAGAGTGAAAAAATTACTTTACGTGCCGACAACTGGCCGATCATTGAACATCTATTTTGCAACGAAAGCGATGCTTGAGCTCTGCTTCTAATGCATCCAGCATAGCCTTGTATTTTGCTTTCTTGAGATCGGCATAGAGTATTTCTTACTAGCTTGCTAACTCATTTGCTTTGTGGTTCCCTACATTTATTTATCTACTTATATATCTTCACATAAACGGTGATTAAGTCTGCGTTTCCATCCAGGTGGGTTAATGAAATGGTCATTTTAATTTAATTACACTTCTAAACTGAGAGCTAAATGGCTTCTAGATTGTCCTGATACAGATTGATAGCTTAACCGATTAAATGAAGTGAGTCATATAGTTTATAATTTCAAGGTAGAGAACCATTTCAAAAAACATGAAGTTGAGGTACTCCATTTGACTCGACTATAATAAATAAAATAAAACAAAATGCATATATGACACATAAAATTATATATAATCCTTATGAATTTTTTAAAATTAAATTGAATGGAATGGGATTGATAAGTTTTGTAGCTGCTAATCCAATAAAATGTTTGGAAAACTGAAAATTCATTTACGATTAAATATGATACGATAATAAACTACTCGTTTCCTTTTGCATTTCGACTTTTTCTTTGAATGGTATGTACGTGTTTTCATGTGCCCATTTAATGCTTTTATATTTTTTGTTTTGGGAGTTGTTAAGAATTTCATGGTTGATTCCATGGTTGTATTTGTCCCGTGTCATTGTGGTCATCGCACAAGATGTTTTGTGGTTCACAAATTTCCACCAGAATTATTTCTAATGCGAATACCCTATGCAGAATAATGATAGTTTGTGTAGTTACATGGCACTGTTTTTGGACCTAAAATTATGGTTAACCGAAGAACAACAGAAACATCCTAGCATTCTTTTTAGTCAAATGCAGCTGACCCAATGTAAAGAAGGGGTCATATGTTTTGATTTTTTAATACGAGACAAAGAGGGCATGGGGTGTTATTTTAGTGTCAAAATACCTGGCATATACCTATTCACGCAAACCATAGCGGCATGGTAAATACCCTTTCAAGACATCCTATCCGTGATTTTCCCGCCAAATCGGATTTTCCTCGGAAAAAAATCTCCTGCGCACGAATATTTGCTGGGCCCGTGCCTGTGCTCAGGTTCGACGTTTTGTACAATTTCTAATTATATAAATTACTGGCCAGCCAAATTAAACACGATATTAAAATCGATATGAGGTACTTTTAATTAATTAATTTGAGGGTTTTATCGTTTTTTAGACATGGCCACGGGCATTGTGAAGTGGCGGGGGGGGGGGGGGGGGGGTCGGGTATACGTGCACTTGTGCGTCAAATTTTTGAATTGAACAAACTTTTCGATCCGTCAAAAATGATGACAATGTTTTACTCTTTTGATGATGGCGCTTCCATTTTTTAAGGGTTTCAACATGTATGTCATTATTTCTTTGATGTACTTAACTGTTTGAGTAACGTTATATATAAAATGGAAAAATATAATTCTGATAAAAAAGACATAAATCCATTAATTTCTCATCATTTATTCAGATCAAATATGTAATAGTAGACATGCCCTTGCACAATTCACTTATCGCAAGTGATTTTTCATAACATAGTGTATATTTGCAGCTGAATAAGTTTGATCAAAGTAACATAAGATTAACTATGCTGAAAAGTGTACTTTATCATTCATCTTCTTTTCTTTGTAGTTTTCAATCCAACATATTTGTCGGTATAACTGTGTTTAACGACGTCAGCAAGTACCACGACAGAATGAAAACGAAACCAAATCACTAAAGGAAACGTCAAAGTAGAGAGTATCGCCCAAGCAGTGAATGAATAAAAGTTTTGCTGCAATGTGTTTGGATCAGCACTTCGTAAAGCAAAAGTGTCAAGAGCCCACAAGCAAAAATTGATAAACTGAAGGAAAATTAGCCCTTGCCTTCCTGGTTTTTCAATCGCGTGTTCCCGTGTAATGGAGCGACGCGGCAAAGCGAAAGCCACAAGGAATACAGTCTGCATGGTTGTACTAATGATATCGATACAAATAGAAACCATGACCAAGGTCCTGAGACTGTCGTTTTCTGTATCCCCAAAAATACCAGCTATAAATGTGAGAATGGTATATCCTAGTACGCCCATATATGACACACCCATTAAAGCCTTGTCGAGCATTTTGAATTGATGTCGGTTCTCCTCTGCGAACATCCTGCGCTCTCTGCGGTGTCTTGCTTCTTTAAGAAAAGTATTCTTCTTCGCCAAAGGGCTCATTTTGATGTACGTAAAAATCGATGTCACAATGCTCAAAATATTGAATAAAAAATCTGCTACGAACAAAGTTACAGTGGAATGCCAACGGTGCAATTCAAACAACCAATTACTGTGTTTTTCCTGACCGGCATTGTGCAAGAACATCATAATGACCACCAATATAAAGCATAACAGAAGAAAGCCCAAGTATGTCCCAAAGTGATAAGTGAAATAACCGTTGTGGTGCCGGTTACCGACTTCAACTCTACCAAGAAAATCAGTTTTTGGTGTGCCAACGTGGTTTTCATCCTTTTCTTCACTGGCATCAATGTTTCCGTCCTCTATGTACGTAGTCCTACGCATCTGGACTTTCTCTCCCACCTTTGTCCAAATGATATAAACCATGGAGGCGGAGAGGAGGCTGTGTTCTATCACGCAAGGGAAAAGGTAAGGTGAGAAAGCATTCTGTATCCCGTCGCTACACTTGTAACTCGGAGTGAGAGTGTGACCATTTGTTGAATAGCTACTGTCTGAAATATTGTAATAAAACATGGAAAATTCAAAATGACATAGTCTACAGCTATCTTTACTTTTTCTAAACAAAATGTGTGATTTAGCCCTAGACCTCTACCAAAAGGGAGAAAAACTGATCTGAGTTCTTAAAAAGTGCAATAAAAGTCCAAAACATGGGTAGGGGTGGGGGATAAGAATAATCAAATCCCCCTCTTTAAAATAATATCAGGCTTTAATTTATAACACCAATAATAAAGGCCGAGGATCCCTATGTGTCGACATTTTGTTGGATTGATCACTATATGAAAACCATTTCAGTACCATAAACTTATATCAGTATCTGCACCAGAGCGACCCTCATGTTACTCATATTAACTTCGTCGAAAATTACCATACGTTTTGCGTGCTGCCGACTTTAAAGTCGTGACCGTGGCTAGTAAATTTTTCAGACGTACAAGACTATTTCCATCATATGGAGGTCTTACAACTTTAATTTAATATGAACGATAACTCGCAAAATATTGGAATTTTTAATTTTTCACTACTCAATCACTGATATTTTCACTATAAGATTGACGATGGATTTGGCAGAGTTTATTATTATTACTATAACTTTAAAACGCGACGAGAAACCTTTCAAAGTTAATCGTATGTATGAAAATGAATATTAACGGGTTATAATGTAGGTCTTTATGTACTTTGGACCACATCGTTTGCAGCAAAATGGTGAGATGCAGTAGTTGTGCCCTGTGGCAGCTGTGCGTCGTGCTCTTCATGGCCTGCAATCTCCTCTCTCGCCTCTTCCACTAGTGTGCTGAGCCACACAGAGAGATTGATACCAAAAAGCAACATCATGCCAAACTTCGACAAGACTTGGATCCAAAAGTACTTGTTGATGCGAATCTGAAATGGTTAAATTTTGAACCTACATTTTTATAGAATGGTGAATTTGACTGTCAAAAGCTGGTTCAAAGGAAAGGGGGCACAAATACATATACATACACTGTGGTATGTAGTGCAAACTCATAAAAAAAAACTATTTAGTTTCGCAAAAAATGAATGAATTAATAAATGATTTAAATAGAAATGGAAAACGTTGTAAATGTTACCTTGGCGTATATGAAAAACAGGTAAACCTGTAAAGCTGTGAATGTTATTTGAGCGATGGAATTCATGAGAATAGTGGTTTCCAAGCAATTGGCCGCCACATCGTTTTCGTATACTTTCCAGTTTATATATTGCACTATACGGACGGCATCGTATATGATAGTTCCCGTGCCAAACACTGAAATATTATCACACGATATGTATTATCAACTGATATACTGTAGTTCGAGTAAAACTTAAATAGCGTGGTAAGCCTTATTTAAGCAAATAAATAAATAAATAAATAAATAAATAAATGAAAAAATAGAGTTACAAGTAACGTTGAACGAGAGACTAAAATTTTAAACTTTGAACTTTAATACGGGTTGATAGACCGTAAATTTATGAACGGTTTTAGATATACATCGTACATGTAGTGTACCTCGGTGAGGGGGAGAGAATTTCCAAGAACATTTACTTTCGATATAAAAAGTTTAATGCGTTTATTATAGTTTACGATCGAACCGAGGAAAGTCAACATAAATTGTATGTAGACGCACCTAAAAGGGTTTGCAAAGTGTCCATTGACATACTATACTAACCAGCAACTCCCAGCTTCTGAAAATTTATGCCGTTCGATTTCTCTTCCTTGTAGGTGTAATCGTTGGTCAGTTTGTCCTTGGCACCCAGTATCAATACAGTCAGTATCCACGCGATTCCCAGACAGAAGAGGACAGTCAGATAATTCTGTGGAGCAAAAGACGAAAATGCCGACGATGATACATTTTTATTTCATTGTTATAATAAATCGATCATTTAGTAATAAAGAGGTGTATAGCCTTAAAATAATGCCTACTGCACAAGACTGCCCTAAAAGGCTAAGGAGCAAAGTCAAACATTTTTTACAATAACAACGCTACGTGTACATTTTATTCTATATTAGCCTACTAGTGGAAAATTATTGATGAAAGTTTGTGTACGGTTCATTATCAAATACGTAACCCTAATAAAAAGAATATAAAACTGTACATCTATTATATAGGCCCTATATGCATACTAGTTACACATGTAAGAATATAAAATATTACCTGAATAACAGCCTCTTCCAGATGTGACTTTTCAAGAACACTGGCAGTTGCCAACGAAAGTGTTATGATTCCAAGGAATCCAGTTATCATAAAACTTATTAGCTTTAAGTTTTTAGGATTCGCACTGGAAACATGGAAATATTTACGTTTTTAAGCCAATGGACAATCTACAGTACTGTTACTTTGCCAACCTAACAACTTAACAACTTGAAATAATTTTGTATTTTATAGCTTGAAATAATTTTGTATCTTAGACCCCATTCCCATACATAGATCGATCTAGCAGGATCGACCCATCTCCGAGGGAATTCTTGCTGAATTATTCAGATTAAGCGGCTCTGATGTCTGGCACACTTTCTGATGCTGTTAAGGTGTAATTAGCTATCGCTTAGCAGCTTCAGTAGTCTAAGCCGCTTAATCTAAATGCAATTCAGCGAGAATCCCCTCGGAGATGGGTCGATCCTGGGAGATCGATCTGGGTATGCGGATGGGGTCTTATAGCTGATTGTATGTGAAATTAACGGAATTTGCTAGTGTAATTGAGGTATTCAGCCCATACGAATAGATATGAAAGCGAAGATTTACAGAAGTAACAGTGAAAAGATTCAAAGGAAATTTCCAAACGTGTACCATTCCTTTAGATCTAAACCGATAACTCGTAATGTTCGCCACTTCATTGGTCCCCTTCTTAGTACCACTTCAGCGTCCATGGTTCCATTGTCCACGTCGCCTGGCCTGTGGTCCTCAATAATGGCAACATGGTGAACTGGCCTCTGTTCCTTAACAGCAGTATCGCCTGACTCATTCATGTGTACATCGAATTCGACCCTGTTTTCATGAGAACTGGTCATCTTAATTCAAAACGCGTTCGAGATATACGCGTATGGAGGTTTTCTGTTAGTAGCTCACAAAAAGATATGAATTTGTGGTGTTCGCATAGTAATGTGTCCCCATATCATATCTGTGTTATCGAGTTATCTGTTAAATAGGATGCACATTTATTTAATGGAATTTGGTTTCCCGTGACAATGACCATATATCTCTGAATACGATACATCACGCTGAAACATCTAATCGAACTTGCTTGTTTCTAATATGTTGAAAACAGTACAGCCGACAGTAGCGGGTTTGGGGGGAGGGGGGGTCAAGGGGTCCTGACCCCCCCCCCCCTTCGATTTCTGAAAGAAATCACACCAATGATCCCCTCTTGAGATTAGAATTTTGAATAGCTGAACCATAGCTCTAAACCGTACCAAATGGCACTGTTCGCCCTCTAAAATACTAAAAACATTTGGAGCCCTACGCCAAGTTGGGGGGGGGGGGTCGGCTTCGCATACGCGCCCCCTTCATATAATCCTGGATACGCCCCTGCTTATTTTAGTTGAATGGATATTCACATAGTAAGTGGGGACAGAAAAATTCTGAAAAGTAAGTTTATGTATTTCAAAGACCCCTTCCCCCGCCTAAAGGTGAAAAATAACTTGCTTGTCTTCATTTTTGCATTTTAGCTGCAGAGTCAATCAAATCCATATAGGTCCAACGACAACAACATCAAATTCAGAAAATTTTAAACATGTTTCATTGTCTTTTCTAATATACACATCACAGAAGGGACTTTAGGCTTGTAACTGCCACATTTCACCGCATTGCAGTGCGTCAGGGGAGTGCGTTGCAGACGACATGCTGTAGGCCCCTATTTGCAAGAATTTTAAAACATTTAATTTAAATTAGGGAGGGAAATCATTTTGTGAGTTTAATGAAATTTAATACAGTAATATGATTGATTTGTCATTTTCTCGTTTAAATCAGTAAAGTAGAAAGTGTAGCAGGCAATAGACCCAACCCATCTCCCCTTAAAACCCGTTCCGTGAAAATTTAACCTATGTTCTCCGCCAGAGCGTATAATAGGCCTACTGTGTGCACTCTGAATATTGACACGGTCTATTTGAACAAAGAAATACACACTATCTCTTTGATTTGAATGACAAGACGTGACTAGAAACCCCCCCACCACCACTTCATCCACCCCACCCTGCTCCTTGCTCCTTCAACACTATCGTTTGCTGATTCTTAGCCCGCGATTCTCGACAGCCAAACAGTTAACGCGGTCTGCAACATTTCAGGGAGAGACAGAAGAAATCTAATTTCTGCTATGATGTCTGCAAAGTTTTAATTCGCAAAACTGGAGAAGTTGACAAGTTATTCGCTTTTTAAAATGTTTCAATAAACTCTGCTTTTAAGTGGTTCCAAGAGTTCCAAATATTTTGATGGCATCTTGATAGTTTCCCCAAAAAACCGTCCACACACAAAAAAATCGATAATCGTATGGGAATTTTCTACAGCCAATCGGCGATATCTACTAGTAACAATTTTATGACTTGGGCGTGAAAACGTGATTCACCTTTGTGCTATTAAAGTCATTTATATTGATATGATTAATAAACAGTGCGTGTCGATTAAGTCTTCCAACGTTTTGTTTAGCGTAATGTGGCATTGCTTTCGAAGGATAATGGGAAATGTGTACAGAACTCAAAACAAAGTAAAAAAATGCATTTTTGACTTAGGGTGCATCCCCAGAGATTTAGATCGATCCAGAGATTTAGATTTAGATCGACCTAACTCCATGGGGGTTCACGCTAAATTGCAGTCAGCCGAGCGCGCACCATAGTTAATTGCCCCCTTACAGCTTTTAGTAGGCGGGACAGACGCTTAAGCCGGTTAAGCTGACCGTAATCTAGTGAGACTCCCCACAGGGATAGATCGATCTAAAATCTATGGGAATGGGGTCTTATATGCAAATTAGATTTCCTTGAATAATAAACTGGTCGCAATTGATGTTCAGATCTGTAATGACACCGCGAACGAAGTTGTCAGCGGAAGAACAAACAGACATAAGTATTTTAGGAGTTTTTAAAGGGATACAAAAAAAATGGAATCAGCGTTTTTTAGAAGTGGATTCAAATGTTTTTTAATAAAGATTTTTTAATTAAGATTTAATATGTGAACGCACAAAACTGTAAATGATTTGACCTTGCACTATTAAAAGCTATTGAACAAAATGCAAAGTGAACTAAAGAAAAATGTCTGTTTTCCTTATAATTACATGTTCATTTACAAATGAATGAAATTCAGCTAAACATGTGCTTGCACTGGCCAAGACCCCAGCCAACTATATGACATAATTTTCACCCGCAACTAGGATTCAATATTTAGAGTATTGCGCCCTAGCCCGAAACAAACTCTCTCAATTCAAGACTTCAAATAAAAGAGCTTTTTGAAATCAAATACTTCATTATCTTTGAGTAACCCGCTCCTCTCCCTTTCTACTTCTACCATTCAAACAAACCGCTTTCGACACTCACACCCAAATGAAACTCAATATAGAGGTGCGTTTCAAATGCTAAGGTGCCAAAAAAATAAAATTGAATGAATTCAAAGTTGTATTCAATTTTTTAAAAACATACATGTATATGTGTATAAAAAAAATCCACGACAGTCTCAATTTGAATTCAAATTTTGATTTTTATCATGTTATTTACATTCCGCAAAGAGCCCTAAATAGTAACGTATGATAGTTTGACATTTCTGATATAATATTTGGAGCACGAGGGGAAAAATAATTTATTTAATGCTTATTTTACTGTCGGTAGAGTGTATTTTCCCCGTTTACATCTTCTTTTACATCCGTAAGAAACAACAGTTTACATAATTAAAGATATGTCCTGCTACTCACAGAGATGATCAGAAATAGTAGCTTTACACATTTTGTGTACAGTATTCTGTATATAAGGGCTATGTAAAAGGTGTGTTTGTAAAAAAAAACCTCAGATGTCCTCAAAGAAATTTATCGTTTTGGAGTTCTTGTTCTATTTCACTTTTTAAAATTAAACGCATCGGTAATAATTATACAGTCTAAACGTACCATCTCTTTTTCAAACTAAATATTAAAGCGAGGAAGGGTGTGTCTGTTATTGGATTTCTGTCATTCGATCTTCTTTTGCGGAGTATATGTATTTTTCAATATTTATGCAAACTACATGTGAATTACCACAATAGAAAAATATATAATCAGGGGCGGTTCCAGGATTATTTGAAAGGGAGGGGGGAGTCCGGAACGACAGGCCTCGGATGCGAAGCCGACCATCGCCCCCTTGGTGTGGGGTTCGGGGCCTACTCGAGGGCCCCGAAAAAGTTTTGGTGTTTTGGAGAGCAAATTGAGCGATCGAGCAAGATCAGGACTACCCGACTACCAGACTCGGCACCAAATGATGCTGAATTCACCGGTAGATCGGACCACACTACTCGTTTTGCTTTAGTACGGTTTAGAACTATAATTTAGCTAGTCAAAATTCTAATTTCAAGAGGGGAATATTGGTGTAATAAATTTTTCAGAAACCAAAATCGGGGTCAGGACCCCCTGACCCCCCCCCCCTCTAAATCAGCAACTAAAACTATCACAGGATAGATGATGATTGAGTAAAATCGCGATGGCGATCGGGACCTGTCCTAGGATGCTGATCGAAGTCTGTATATGTACCTACAAGTTGGAGAGATGAAGATCAGCCTTTGTCCTAGGACAGTCGCTATCAATCAATTTGGATTCCTCAGCTGGTAAATATTAAAGAATGAATATCATATTTCACATAAAAGGAATTTTTACAGTTTTTTTTTATTAAAGAAAGCAAGGTATGTTATTCTTTCAAATTCAAAAAATGTTCAGCTAAAAAAAGGAGTAAATCAACGAAAAAACGGGAGTATCTTAAAAACTCCCTTAAGGCCACTAGTAGTAAACGGACCAAAGGCATAGAAACAATGCTCAAACCCACAAAATAAGTAAAACACCACAGGGAATAATATTTTTCTCCACCTTAATAACTAAATAAGTTTATTTCATTTCATTTTAATACAAAAAAGAAAAAAGTTTATAATTAAAACAAATGTAATTCTAAATTTCAAAGCCTTGCTGTATTTAAGAGGATGTATTTTTTTTCCAATTTGGTCATTTTAGAGACAAAGAGAGAAACAACGAAGGGACGTAAAGGGATAACCTCTACCTTGGGAGAACCCCCCTTCCCCCCAAAAATGGCTTTTTATGTACAGACACAGATGTGTCTGTACATATAGCCATCACCTGCGTCTGTCGTCGTCGCCGTGCACTTTGACCACCGATAACATGATAAGTGAAAAACCGTTTTACCTTTTGGCTTGAAACTTACAGAACTGATGAGCTTTCATAATATGCAGGTCAAGTTCGAAAATCAGCATGATATGGCCATCTATATGGAAGTTTTGCTGTTTTTTCACTTTTTTCAGCATATATGCAACACCGATAACACGATAAGTGAAAAAACGTTTTACCTTTGGGCTTGAAACTTATGGAACTAATGAATATACATAATACGCAGGTCAAGTTCGAAAATCAGCATGATCGGGCCATTTTTATGGAAGTTATGCTCTTTTTTCATTTTTTAAGCATATATGCAACACTGATAACACGGTAAGTGAAAAACCGTTTTACCTTTTGGCTTGAAACTTACAGAACTGATGACTATTCATAATACACAGGTCAAGTTTGAAAATCAGCGTGATTGGACCAATTTTATGGAAGTTATGCTGTTTTTTCACTTTTTTTAGCATGTATGCAATACCGATAACGCATTTCAAGGAAAATCAATTGGCCAATTGTCTTGAAATTTACAGGGGTGATCAGTCTTACTGAAATACAGATGGAGTTCGAAAATAAGCTCCATTGGTTCAGTTCTGGTGAAGTTATGCCTTTTTTGTATATAAGTGTTTTTTCCTTTGATTTAATTCTTAGGCATGTTAACAATCTCATCTGTGAACTAATTAGATATGTAAAGGTGTTCTTTTGACATTTTCTGCATCTTAACAATATTGTTAGTTGATTATATAAAAAAGATGGTAAACCTGTAATTGTGTAATAAAGTGTCAAAAAATGGAAATAATAATAAACTCATATCTTTACAGTTTGTCAGATTCAATCATTCACCATGTTCAGAATCTCAGAATGGAGCAAACTGGACATTTAAAATTGTTCTATTGATATTTTTCCTATGTCAACAATTTTCTCAGTTGTTCATTTAAAAATGACAGTAAATTGATTACTTTGTTATATGAAAAAAAGGTGTTGAAAATGGAAGAAAATCAATTCAATACAGTTATCTCTTGTATACAGGTACATTTTGGCATTTTGAAAGTGTGACTCTGAACTTCCATGGCCTTGAAGACCTTTCCATGTCACATTTTCTGTATATCCATGATACTTTTATTTTATTATTAAAAATTGATGGTCATTATGTTATATTGCATAAAAGTTGAAGAAAACCCTATTTTGGAAATGGCTGCCGGAATGACCATTAAGGAAAAACCATGTTACTTATGATACTCAAACNTAAATAAATAAATAAATAAATAAATAAATAAATAAATAAATACTTGACAAATTTCCCATTCCAACCTACCCCCAGGTAGTCCTGGTACAGGCTCCAGCATCTGTCCTCCCATCTCTCCCTCTTGCCTCGGCACCAGCTGTTGACCCTGAGATTTCCCCCACTTAATTGTTAACCGCCTGCCGTTAATGATGAGTTTGTTAAAGGTGCTCTCTGCTGCGGCCTCGCTGGACTCGCGCTTCGTGAACTGTACAAAGGCACACTGCTGCCTGCTCACCATTGTGACAGAGCGAATCTCACCAAATTGGTAGAAGTGGTCCCTGAGAACAGAACAAGTCCTTGTCATTTTGGGCTTAAGTGAAAATGTTGAACTCAGATATTACATAGTTATATGATTGCCCCCCCCCCCCCCCAACACTTGCAGCTGACACTGTCATTAATGAGAGAAGTTCTGACCCAGAACTATGTTGGCAATTCAATATTATTTGAACCTTGACAACTATTTTTTTAGATTCTAGCACAACAGTGGATTAAAAAAAAAACATAGGAGTGTTAGAGGCAGATTATTCAGACTAGATCTACAAAACCTTGAATTAGGGCTATTTTCACATCCTACTTTTAGATCCTTCTCTTCAACTTTGTCCTCTAAGTTTCCCACAAAGGAAGTTGTTGAAAACTTGCATCGGATAAAAATTGTGTACTTGGCAACATAATTTATGAAAAACTCAGACCCATATGGTCAAAGCACAAGAAATATTTTCAAACCTTAAATCTTTCTCTGTGACCTTGTCCCCCAAGTTCCCCACATATAGTGTGGTCACTGATTTGTCCTCTGGTGGCTCTAGTTTAGGCATTGTGGCATATCTCTTGATCAGTTTGTCAGCCACTGGGTCGTTGACACCATAGAATCTGTCCTTGATGTTCTGGTCAGCAAGAGGGTCATCAGGGTCAGTCGGCTTCTCGTGTCTGGAACAGTATATATTTCAAATGAGTAAATTTGATGTTCAACAAAAAGTGGGAAATTTTTTTCAAGCACTTTCCACCAATACATATAGCTTTGATTACTCTAATGTTCATGTTGATGGCATAGAATGGCAAATGTGGTTATGTTTCTGTCCTTATGTCACTTCAGAGAGAGAAACACAACAACAAAGTAAATGTAAAAATAAATGATTAAAAATCGATATAATTATACAAAAAATCAAAATAAAAAACATAAGCAATCAAATATTAACCTATTTATAAGGATGCTTGCATTTGAATGTAAAAACTAATAAATTAACAAGAAAAAATGATCTTCAAATCTATTTTCATTCACAATATAGTCACGTAAAAAAAATCCATCATCACCTGTATGGGCACTCCTCTCCTCTCTTGCACTCCCCTTTCACCCAGAAGGAGCAGATATGAGGCCTGTTACGTTTGTAGTAGGGTGTGGTCCTGGCCAGTTTGAGCAACATGTCGCTGGGGCTCTGTGACTTCCCCAGGGCACCATAGGCCAGAGAACTGTCCGAGTTTGCTAACTGTATGGATGAAAAGATGACCCGAGTGTAAATCGTCGTTTGTAATGAAGATAATGATAGAATTAAGAATTTTGATGTTTTTTATAATATATTTTTATCAATTGAATTGTAATCAAATTTGTAATGTATAATTACAGCAGGATTCCTCTAGAGGAATTAATTTTATGTCTTAAAAGTTAAATATTGCTTAAAAAACAAGAAGGGCAGAATAATGGAACTATTGATGTAGACAAATTTTCATATTTTCTTTTTATTCATTCACTTTTTGTTATTCATAGTAATTATATGAAATGAAAAATAGGAAATCTGCCCTGTAGGTCTAAGACATTGATAATCTTAGTTTTTCTAAAACTAAAAAAATCTCTACATAAACTCTTTCATTCTATATGACATATTGGCTACCATACATTCTCAATACAAGAGGTCTGCTGTCCGTTACGAATGGAAACTTACATCTTTTGAATCAAAACTTACATCTCTTTCTGCATTTTGTGCAAAGAATTCTTTGTTGACATCAGACTTGGGCATGCTGTCCTGCAATTTTAATGCTGCATCTCTAACCTGGACTGGGAGACCTATAATATATAATATAGACACATATTATGTTGCTATAACATAAGACATATGATGTATATCACATTTTACCATGAGAAGAAAATAAGTCCTAGATGTAGTGTATCTAGCAAAAAGCATATGACACAGAAATGTGCCCTGGCTTTAATCAAACACAATACTCATCAACAAGGTATACCTGACATCGACTGTATGCTTTGCACTCTATTACATCAGATTTACTTTTTTAACTTGTATTGTACCCATTCTGCGATTACGAGACACAAAATCACAAAAATACCTCAAGGCAAACTACCCCAAATAAAAATAAATGGATAAAAGAATGAACATAAAAATGGAATACCCTTCACTTAAAACATTTACTTGTTGAACAAATAAGCCAAAGCATCTTATGAGGAGATATCTTACCATATTCTAAATCCAGTAGGCATGTCTGACATATGTTCTTCAGTTTACTACAAGTTTGGCAAACCTCCGTCTTCTTAAACCTGGCCCCTTTCCCTGGACACCAGCGGAACACTGTGAATGGCCGCACACAGATCTTGCATTCTTTGCCATATTTTTCTTTGGTCTATAATTGAAAACAAATATTATATGAAAAGAAGGAAAGGAAACAAATTCAATCATGCAGCAGGTTGTCACACATGAAAGTAAATGAGACAAAAATAAACAATATATTTGGATAAAGGTCACTCGGAGTAAGGGACGGGGTAGGCATTTGGAACAATTTTTATATTAAACAAAGACTGGGTAGTACACTTTCAACAGTGCCGCCTTAAAATGAGATTCTTGATTTGCACTGTAAAAATAAAATTATACTCTAAATCAAGAAGAATATGCAGATAAAAGCTGACCATACTCACCATTCTAATGTACGGGTTGTCACCTAGGCATGTTTGACATAAAATAGGAAAATCCTGCAATATAGACAAAATCAAAACATTACTTTTAATACTCCCGTGGCAAACAAGGCTTTGGATGGCTACTTAGTAGGACTGTGATTCTTTTGTTCTGTGCTATAAGTCACTTAATATGGAAGCTTTATATCATAAAGTATCAGTCCAACCTAGGACCATGAACACTTCTATTTATAAACATACAAACCCAACTTATGAAGAAGATTTATGCACAATTAATGCTTGAAGGTTCAAGTGAACTAATAGAGTTGCTTATGGGCAGCTACAAATTGCATTGAGCAGTGTTCATGATATACCATTTGTGTTTTGCATTCTTTTTTTGTGTGTGTATTACTGTAATTAATAATACCAAAAGTGAAAAATGTTAGTGATGTTCATATGTAAAAGCCTATACATATACCACAGTTCAACCACAGGCAGTGGCCCATCAAAAATTGGCAGAGAAAACAGTCAGTGTCCAAGTTTTTTTAAGCAATATTTTGGCTATATACAGATCACTATCGTTCTCAACATCCCTGCCAACTAAGTGTATACCATGTGTCTAAATTAATGTAATGGAAAATTTATTTTAAAATAAATCTCGACACACAACACGTGGGCCAAGAAATCGACCTTGTTTGTATAAATTTTTTTATTGTCTTGGGAAACTAATTTGTTTTCCAGTCATTATTCAAAGACCGGAACATTGTGCTCCACACAGTATAAGGCATCTTTAGCCATAACAGTGCTTTACCACGGACAAATGCCGACGTCAAGCTGATTATGATTCACAATTTCTTATACTACAATTATCTTATTTTTCGAAAAAAAAAGAAGTCTAATTCGTTTGATTACAGGTGAATAATACCAAAATATCACAAACAACACACGACAAAATATCCTCCTTTAGATATAGAATTGTGCCGGGTGATTTTCTTAAGAATTGTGAGTTAAGACTTACCGCTTCTTCCCAATTTTGTCTATTATACGTATTTGCACTCTTCGACAGCGCCATCTTGTTTATGAACGAACAATACTTCCGGTGAGAATAATTCCGGTGAGTAATTTAATTTAACTTTTTATTGTTCAAAATTCATTCAGCAAAAATATTGCATTTTTACTTAAAAAATAAATAAATAAATAAATAATGAAAAAGACAATTAAAAAAGACTAAACGAACAATGATTCATCGTGGATAACGAAGACGAACAAGTGGACGGACTGGGGACGATGCGGTAGTAGAGACAGGTGCGACAGGTGTGCATATAATAAACGGACGAAAGGGTGTGCATCTCTAAAATAAAAGTGTTAAATTAGCTGATTTTGAATTGCGTTAGGGCAGTTTCACTAGTTTCTTCAGAACGACAACCGAGATCAGAATTATTTGCCTTCCAGTAATTTGACGCCTATCAGGGCATTAGCCGTGTTCTCCAGGGTCTACAATGTAGAACTACTGTGTTTACATTCAGCGCCACTATCTTTGTTCAGTTTTGCATTGCTCACATTTATGTGTTTATTGTCTTTTTGTTGTTCCTTTTTATCTTAATTTTAGTAAGCTTTGATAACAGCTTTGATAAAAGACTTAAAATTGGCAGAATATAGGAGAGACCTATAGGCCCTAATCGTTTAAATATTTTTTAAAATGCCACTTCTTAAAAAGATAAAATAGGCCCCTATAGTATGGGCATATAGACCTTTCAAGAATAAAAGCAAAAAAATTTAGTCGGAACCTAAAAAAGTAAATAAGGAAATAAAAGGAAATAAACAAATATTAATAATAATAATAATAACAACAACAATAATAATAATAATAATAATAATAATAATAATAATAATAATAATAATAATAATAATAATAATAGGCCTGTACACCATAGGCTATAGTGGGTGGGGGGGGGGGGGTGAATGCTCAATTGAACTTTGGGGCTTTTGAATGATTTTGATAATTATGTATGCGAAACCATTACTTGATAAAAATAATGTGTCGACCATAAAGCTATTAACACGCACAGCACCAGTTGGTGGTGTCTTACAAAGAGAATAATTTTTTAATGTGTCAGTTAAGGGGGTTCCTTTGATACATATTGGATTTTGGACCTATCATACGATGTATACGATGTGCGTGTATAATAAGTCTGAGATTGGACCTGGGATTGGAGATTGAAGTAGGTTTGCGACAAACCGTACACTCGGCGATGATAATATTGGTCACAAAAGCGTAATGTAAAAAAATTCTCCGTTGTTTTCTTTTTTTTTCTCTCTCCCCCCATCCCTTCCCACCAAAACGAATTTATTTTCCAGCTCTTACTGGCACACCCGTGGTGTAAATACAGTTGACCTAGAGACCCAGGGTCTTGGCCAGTTTATGATATTCATTAGTAAACCATAAACAATCCAAGTATCTTACTTGAGACAAATAGGTTATCTGTATCTACTTATGCTTAGTGGTTAATAGGTGCGTCTCAACATTAGAAAAATGGGCTGTCGACATTTTAGTTCTCAAAGTCCTTGTACCTTTTTGTACCTCCTCTTATCCACAATAAAATAGACCGAAAAACAATGGGCCGGGTATTAATTTACACGATATAGCGATATACAAACTGCTGTTGTCAATCCCGAATATCAATGCTTGAATGAGATGGTATTTGATATATTATATTTTGCATAAAATAAGAAAATGTTTCCCTCCCCTTCTTTCTTTCTTCTTATGTTTAATGGGAAAAGACAATGAAAACAACACAAATCTTTATATGCTGGTTCTTCCTCAGTACTTCATTCAAATTCTTTAATGGGAACGAATTGCTATTGTCTTCCAGACATGGAGAATCAGCTGGCTCTGATAATGTCGCTGTCAGTATTATCTTAGTAATACACAGGTAGGCCTACATTTAGTTTATAATTAAAAGTTCAATGGAATAAGATAGGTTGCAAAGAACCTCAAGTCTATTTATTATTATTATTATTATTATTATTATTATTATTATTATTATTATTATTATTATTATTATTATTGTTATTTGATAATTAACGGGAAATGAAAAGGAAAGAAGACTGTTGTAGAAATTAACTTTAAGTATGAAATAAGAGGCCTAAAAGTATACTTAGAGCACAAAATTGTTTTCATTCATAGGCGAAGACTGACATGTATATTGCCACGCCCGTGTGAATGCTTCGCAACTGGGGACAATGTTTAAATTTGTGACCATGTCATATCACTATGTTTACTGCTTCTTACTTATCAATATCAATATACGCAAGACACCAAGCTATTGATTTGTAACTGTGTTAGTTTGATATGATACTCAATTATAACTCATCAGCTATTTTAACGTAAACAGCCACGCCTGGTCAGAAGGGCACGCCCGTCTCATCCCCTTATCTTGTTTAAGCTGTTTGAACATTACGGCGTTGTCCCCCGGCCCTGCCCCGCGACTGTTAACTTAGTGTAAGAACCCTGTCACGAAAGACCCTGTCAACTTATTGGCTGAGAGGATTTCTTCACTATTATCAAGTAGCAGATCGTGCATGTCGGCACGTATGATGATGATTACGAAATGAAATATTCGGTATTTGTTTCATATTGGTGATTTCGCAGGTCTTTCTGCATGTAAGCCCCATTCTAAGCACCTCTCCTTTATTTTTTTCGGCAAAGACACTGCTAATTTAGCGCAGGTCTTATGCAAAGAAAAAATGAGCGACAAATAGTTACTTTTACTATAATTATCAGATGTCTTGTAATCAAAAAAAGTTATACATGTCCAGTAAAAGATTTCATTTTGAAGGTAACCAAAACAAAATGGATAGATATAACCATAAAGAAAACAGTTTCCTCTTGATGAAATGTCTTATTAATTAAATTAATGTCACCATAATCCGTCTTTGCTTTTCCGTGGGAAAATCATACAAGACTGCATGTATTCGTTTTACTTAAACACAAACTGCAATAGAGTATCTCGTTGTTTTGACCTGTTTTTGTTTACGCTAAAATGTCAACCACCCTACCCCCACCTCAGAATAGAAAAAGCTTTTGATGAGTCCAGCAAAAACAAAAAAGATTAGAGGAACAAATCGACAAAATGTAATTTTTATAATACATGTAGTCGCTGCCATATTCACCACAACTTGCACCGCTGATACAAATTGTTCTGTAGTCCGAGTCCCCTTTGGAACGAACAAAGAAGAGACTGCAGTTTGCCCTATCACGCCACCTCGTATCTGACCATTATCTTAACAGAGATTAAATTTTAAATATTGTGATTGTCAGAGGTGACATGGCGACCCTGAACGACTTCAAGAAGGTCAAGTTGATTTCGAATGGATGACAGAGTGATATACTTTTTTAAAGATAACTATATGGCATGACATATGTCGTTTTGATAACAAGCACTCCAAAAAAAAAAAAATTGTCTTCATAATTAAAACTTACTTGAAATCCACAAGAGGCCAATTTAAAATATGCACTTTGCATATCGGACAAAAATGCCATGCACTATCAAAACGACATTGATATGGGTCTATCTATCTATCTGTTTGGACAATGTGGATGAACTCTTAAATGAATTAAAAGCAATTACACCAAAAAGTTGCTATATAAATTTATCATGACCATCTGATATGCGAGAGAGAGAGTGAGAGAGAGAGAGAGATAAACAGAGGCGTGGTTCACGCTCTGCTTTTGGCGGTCCGTGTTTAATTTACACGTTAATCACCAAATTTGCATTCTTGTGGCTTGTTACACCTATTCCAGAACATTTCAGGGTGTATTAATTAATCCATAGTTGAGGTGGTCCGGGGGGGGGGGGGTTACTTCACACCAATAATACATATATTAGTACTAGATACTGTTTGTTACAATTAAGATTTGAAACAAGCGATCAGTTTTCGGAGGTTATTTATTCCGTTGTTTAATTCACACGTATCCATAACTTCCCCCCTATTTTCTTGTTTGTGACGAAAAAAAGGAAAGAATGGCAAACTGGCTGTTTACAACATTTATTATGCAATATTCAAGAACGACTTTTAACATGCACATAAGTTGTTTAAGTATAAACTTGAGTTACGTGAACATGAACTGCGTCAAGAAGTAAATACAAATCGTGAAGTCACGGAGAAATAAAATACGATGCATTAACATGAACAACTTCGTATATAATTTAAAGTGCACAAGCAGAACATACGGTATTCAGACAGCCCTATAAAGTGTGAAATACACATGCATCCTATAGGAATACGAACCTGTTGAGTAAATTTGCATTTGTACATCATTTTTGAATGTTAAGAGAAACATATAACGGGCTGTAGTTTTATTATTATTTTCATGTATATCTCTGAATATACAAGGGGAGTGGTGGCAGGCGCGCCACGACATTATTACCTTCTGAACACGGTTCCACATAATAACTTTAAACCGAAAGTTGATATCAAATTTCAGACTATTAATTTTATTAAATTTAACTCAAGTTAAGACAGTAGCAGTCTACTTAGATGAAATATTATGTCTCTTGTGAAAAAAGGGAAGAAATTACTAATATTTGAGACCAACAAAACATTATTTCAGTAGAAAATTTTTTCGGTCTTGAAGTTTAGCCAACTTTCGGTCTAAAGTTCTTATGAAAGCGCCCCGTGGCTTGCATGATCGGTCCTCATAACAACGTAACGGTATGCAATATGAATCAAGTGGGAGCAAAGTTAGCATGACCTTACAGATAGACATCGCGATTGTTTTTAACCCATTTACAAGGGTTGTTTGTTATTGAGAGAAGACACATAGAGAGAACCATTATTTAAGTAGTTTGTGAAGACATTTATATTATTTTATGTATATGTAGATACATAAACGACATTAATTCTGGGTGTATGTTTTATTCTGGTTTTATGGAAATGAGAGGCAACACCGTGTATGTCACATGCGATGAATTTCAATCAGTATTCGTTCAATGACAAAATATTTGAATTTGACTTTTGATTAGAGACAGAAGAAATAATTGAGCTGATAAAGTCTCCATTCAGACATAAGTCACGAATGTCTAGGATAAATGTGTCGGATTTAGTACTAATATTACTGATGTGTAACTGAGGGAAACATTTATTTGGTAGATAAATAATCTCTCTCTCTCTCTTTCTCTCTCTTCGTTGTGTCCCCATTTTCTTAGAACATCTGAATATCAGTTTTCGAAGAAAAAGGGGTTGAATATCAGTTTTCGATGAAAAAGGGGTTGAGTGCACCGTCACCCGAGTCACACTCCCCTATTTTGCTCAAGCAATGCTGTCATCAAACGCAAACATGCCGGTTACGGCAGTGTCAACACGGCCCATGATGTCGCAACGCTATCAACATACCCTAAAACAAACACAGGAAGGCCGGGTTTCCGTTGCTGCCCTAGCAATGAAGAGACGGATGTCGGGCGTATTGATATTGATTGGAATGGTTGAATTTTTTTTTTTTTATTTTCGTGGTTAAGACAGAAAGGATACTATTCAGGATTTTCTTAATGTTGTTATTTTAATTTCGGGAAAAAAGTGAAGATTGGGATAAAAGGAGACACATTATTTGGGGCTCAATTTACTCTATTTAATCAATGAACGCTGTGCAGTTGTCCGGAATTGAGGAAGAATTAGGTATAAACTTAATTTTATGATATAACAATCCAGCTTATTGCTGTCTTATTATTACTAGTTTCTTTAATTTACTCCCCCTGATCACCGTCTTTTGCTTAAGTTAGAAAATATGACATCCTTAAGCTTGATAATAAATTTTACAATCTTTTCTCTTAAAAAAAATCCTCTCTTCGTTGCTTAATGTTGGCAAGATAAAAATTAACCGCCTAATACCAGGAATGTGAATAGTATCATCACATAAATATGTGGGCACTTGGGCAGGACTTAAAAGTGAACCATTCTACCTGCTACAGGGCATAAATAACATTATTGCGTGCGAGACGTTAAAACGTTATGAATATCGTTCAAAGACAACACGTTGAACAGGTAGAGGTCGACTAGCTACACCGTACTTTATAAAATAAGAAAACAATTCACTTGACTGTTTTATCCCTGGATTAAGTGGGAATATCACATCGGAAGAGAAATGGGAGGTGCAATGAGCTAGTCTTATGAGTAACGTCAGATGTCAGGCGAGGTTGGTAGTCACCGGGCTTGGCCATAGATAGGTCAACAAATAGAATGGAAAATTGATAAAGGGGGGCACTCCGTTGATCCACTCTGTAAGATAAAAGGAATGTCATTGTGAGTGCAACAGGTTTATAGCAAACTCTGAGAAGACTTCTAGGAGAGGGGTACAAAAGCAGAGAGATTGATTTTTTTTGCCAAATATATTATATTTACACCTAAAATAAGACTAGTCGGTTTTAACATGGATGGCAGTTGCAAAAGAGTTTAAGTGAAGCCTGTTTATCCAAACTTCAGACACACATAAGGTGACAAACTTAGGGAATAAGAAACTATATTTTGTTTCATTTCTAACTGGATTGCAAGCGATAAGGACGCACTTTGCAGGGTATTTTCATACAAAGAGGAGGGAATATTCAACAATTTAGTTTGCAGACCTTTAGAAAGATATGGCATATAATTGGTTTTTAATTTTCATTTGCTGGTTGGAGGTAGGTGATATTAAATTTCCCACTATTATCTTTAAAAAAATAGTAACGGAATTACCGCAAAGTGAATATGTACTTTATAATCTATACATGTATATAAGTAAAGAGCAGAGGATACTATCTTGCACGTTGCCTCTAACTGTATCCAATATTGGGTTTAAAGGAAATAAACGCATTGGCTGCTATTCTAATAACTTATAAGTATATGCTTGAAGGGATTTACATCAACCCACACGCGCGAGTGTGTGTGCGTGTGCGTGTGCGTGTGAGAGTATCCTTATAAGTTGAGTGCAGATTACACCCAAAATCACATGGTCATAAAATTTAATATTTATAATATTCATCTTTAACTTTAACTGTTTAAATGTGTTGTCCATAGATATAATCATTTCATTTCACAAAATTGCTATGAACATACATCTGTTAATGTGTACTGTGTGTCGATGAAAAGTACATGTAGCCTAATTGTCTTAGTTTATAAGAGTGTTGCAAAATGAAACAAAAAATACTTTTGTTTTAACAATGGCCTTTTATTTCAGTTAAAAATGACAATTCTTCTTGGGTTACTGACATGAGTCAGTCGCAGTTGTTGGAAAACAAACAAAAATACTTTTTTCTAATAAATTTCACAGACTGGCCTGTTCAGTTATGTGAAATGTATTGAATGACTGATGAGTATATTTTTGCAAAAATATCACCTTATTACTTATTAGGTGTTAATGACTGCTGACGCTACTGGCAAGATAGCTGTGCAGCTGCTTACCTTCAAGAATAAAAACTTCAAAGATGCAAATGGACAGTGCTGTGACAGTGGCCTCTCGTTTTGGTGCAACTTGGACCCTTGTGATACGACGTTCAAGTTGTGCTTTGACGGCAATAGTGGGTAGGTTTTGGAGTAAAATAATGAGCAAATTGTTCTGACGAAAGTCTACATGTACCATTCGCCTATTTAATAATGCTCATTGATTTAATGAGCTAAAAAAACTGATAATTTTTTAAGTTAAAAGAATTTTAAATTATTTAACGTCTTACTTTTACATTGCGTGACAAGCCTAAGATTATTTTAGTGCTTAAAACATTAATAACAGAAAAGAAAAACGAATATTGATAAATGATGGGAAAGAGCTGCTCCCGTAGGGTTAAGGGTTAAGAGCTGCTTAGGGTTAAACCTCGAGGGGACATACACCAATAGGTGCATCTGCCAACGATACAGACCATCAGTGTTTTTATACATATGGAAACTGCAGCTTATATATACCAGACATCAATAGTCTTTTTATGCGCGCCCCGCTTTATGTTCTAGGAGCAATTCCATGGATTCATGTGCTTACGGCTCCTTTGGATATCTTGGGGACATAAAAAGCAATGACATAAATTTTGGAAATGAAAATGGATTCAAAGATCCATTTGTTGCAGATATTTCTTCATGGCCGGTAGGTGTTCTTACATACATACCAAAAGATGTGGTGATATATGCTTTATTTAATTTAAGAATGTTTTTCGGTGAAATGTGAATGCTTTCTCTCGGTATGTATATGTCAAATAATCCACGATCTTGCAATATATACCTTGAAAACCTATCCCTGACGCTCGAGGTCATCTAGCATAAACCTATATCTCTTGGGTGACAGTATATTATCTCACACTTAATTCTTGTAAGATTGCATGTTTAGTAGTAGTAGACAACATGAAAGAAATGCCTCTTGTAAAACAGTCCCTTAGTTCAGTAAACAACATGTATACATATCTCTAAACGTTATGTATACGTTTAAACTGTAATGATATTCTCTGCAAGACGTAAAACAAAGAAATTGCAATATTTGTCATCACATTAAGAAAGTCATGGAGCTACATTTGTCTACGAAATGCTATATTGCGTTTTTATTTTATATAAATACATTCATTCTTGCCAATGAAATGTGCCATTGTAGGGTTCATTCAAATTAAAAGTGGATGTAAAGGACTTAGATGGAGGCATAACAGGAGACAACGATCCTGTTGACTTCTTGCAGACGGCCATCACAGCCGGCGCCGCCTCCAGTGAGAACGCTACATCCTGGACCTCGGTGTCCTTGCGGGGAACTAGAGGGACAGAACCCACGTCGTATGTTGATATTAGTCTTGGTATTTCAAATGGATTTTATAAGACATACACTAAGACAATGTTAAAAAACCTTCAGACGCAACTGCGTATCTGTATTATTAAAGCCTTCAAATATTATCTTGTCACCTGGTAGCATGCATATGATTTACATGTGCTCAGTAATCAGTTTTAGTTTACCTTTTTCGCCTTTTTGCAATGGCATAATGATAATTTCTTCGTTTTTATTTGCAATAGGATTGCCCTGCAGGTCAAAGTTTACTGTGATCCAGGTAAGATTGTGAGAATGCATCGAAGTGGCAATGAGCCAATAGAAATTTCACCGACAGACAAATTCAGATTCAATATCAATGTTGCAAAAAGAAGGTAAAAGAACAAAGAAAACATTAATTCGAATGACCAATTTTGGTCATCTTGCCATAGAATTAAGTCATTATTCTACTAATTGCTAAAATACACCAGATCACAACATAGTATTTAATTGAAAAATAATGAAGTTAACTTGTTAGATCACTGGCATTACATATCAATTAAATCATGTTTTATAACTCCAGTATCAAAAATATAAAAAAATATCCAAAAATATGTTTTGCTTTATCTACTAATAGGATACGCGGGAGCAGATTGTGCCACTGACATAAACGAATGCGCCAGCAACCCTTGTAATAATGGTGGAACATGCCAAGACAACATTAACTCCTACACGTGCAAATGCTCACCCGGATATACGGGAGTTAACTGCGAGACCAACATTAATGAATGTGCCAGCGGTCCCTGTCAGAACGGCGCCACGTGTCTGGATGGGGTGAATGCCTTCACGTGCCAGTGTGCCCCTGGTTATACTGGAGTACTCTGCCAGGTTAACACTGATGAATGTGCCAGCAGTCCGTGCCAGAATAATGCCACGTGTCTGGACGGCATCAATGCATTCACCTGTGACTGTCCCGGGGGATTCACGGGGACCCTGTGTGAAACTAATATCAATGAATGTGACAGCAACCCGTGTGTAAACAGTGGGACTTGTCAGGATGAAATAAACGCGTTAACATGTCAGTGTCCTAATGGTTTTACCGGGACAATTTGTGAGACGAACATTGATGACTGTCTAAACGCACTATGTTATAATAATGCCACGTGTGTGGACGGCGTTGAATCCTTTCAGTGTCAGTGTATGGCAGGGTTCACAGGCACACAGTGCCAGACGGACATTGACGACTGCCTCAAGGCCACATGCCAAAATAACGCCACATGCCAGGACGGCATAAATGGGTTCACCTGCGATTGTAGCGATGGATACACAGGGCAGCTGTGTGAGTCTGATATTGACGAATGTGACAGTAGCCCATGTCAGAACAATGGAACGTGCCAGGATTTTATCAACATGTACACCTGTAACTGCTCAAGCGGATTTACAGGTACACATTGTGAAACCAACATCGATGATTGTGTTAATAATACCTGTGAAAATGGTGCCACTTGTGTAGACGGAATCACCAACTTCACCTGTCAGTGTCCACCAGGTTATACGGGACAGTCTTGTGAAACCAACATCGATGATTGTGTTAATAATACCTGTGAAAATGGTGCCACTTGTGTAGACGGAATCACCAACTTCACCTGTCAATGTCCACCAGGTTATACGGGACAGTCTTGTGAAACCAACATCGATGATTGTGTTAATAATACCTGTAAAAATGGTGCCACTTGTGTAGACGGAATCACCAACTTCACCTGTCAGTGTCCACCAGGTTATACGGGACAGTCTTGTGAAACCAACATCGATGATTGTGTTAATAATACCTGTAAAAATGGTGCCACTTGTGTAGACGGAATCACCAACTTCACCTGTCAGTGTCCACCAGGTTATACGGGACAGTCTTGTGAAACCAACATCGATGATTGTGTTAATAATACCTGTAAAAATGGTGCCACTTGTGTAGACGGAATCACCAACTTCACCTGTCAGTGTCCACCAGGTTATACGGGACAGTCTTGTGAAACCAACATCGATGATTGTGTTAATAATACCTGTAAAAATGGTGCCACTTGTGTAGACGGAATCACCAACTTCACCTGTCAGTGTCCACCAGGTTATACGGGACAGTCTTGTGAAACCAACATCGATGATTGTGTTAATAATACCTGTAAAAATGGTGCCACTTGTGTAGACGGAATCACCAACTTCACCTGTCAGTGTCCACCAGGTTATACGGGACAGTCTTGTGAAACCAACATCGATGATTGTGTTAATAATACCTGTAAAAATGGTGCCACTTGTGTAGACGGAATCACCAACTTCACCTGTCAGTGTCCACCAGGTTATACGGGACAGTCTTGTGAAACCAACATCGATGATTGTGTTAATAATACCTGTAAAAATGGTGCCACTTGTGTAGACGGAATCACCAACTTCACCTGTCAGTGTCCACCAGGTTATACGGGACAGTCTTGTGAAACCAACATCGATGATTGTGTTAATAATACCTGTAAAAATGGTGCCACTTGTGTAGACGGAATCACCAACTTCACCTGTCAGTGTCCACCAGGTTATACGGGACAGTCTTGTGAAACCAACATCGATGATTGTGTTAATAATACCTGTAAAAATGGTGCCACTTGTGTAGACGGAATCACCAACTTCACCTGTCAGTGTCCACCAGGTTATACGGGACAATCTTGTGAAACCAACATCGATGATTGTGTTAATAATACCTGTAAAAATGGTGCCACTTGTGTAGACGGAATCACCAACTTCACCTGTCAGTGTCCACCAGGTTATACGGGACAATCTTGTGAAACCAACATCGATGATTGTGTTAATAATACCTGTAAAAATGGTGCCACTTGTGTAGACGGAATCACCAACTTCACCTGTCAGTGTCCACCAGGTTATACGGGACAATCTTGTGAAACCAACATCGATGATTGTGTTAATAATACCTGTAAAAATGGTGCCACTTGTGTAGACGGAATCACCAACTTCACCTGTCAGTGTCCACCAGGTTATACGGGACAATCTTGTGAAACCAACATCGATGATTGTGTTAATAATACCTGTAAAAATGGTGCCACTTGTGTAGACGGAATCACCAACTTCACCTGTCAGTGTCCACCAGGTTATACGGGACAATCTTGTGAAACCAACATCGATGATTGTGTTAATAATACCTGTAAAAATGGTGCCACTTGTGTAGACGGAATCACCAACTTCACCTGTCAGTGTCCACCAGGTTATACGGGACAATCTTGTGAAACCAACATCGATGATTGTGTTAATAATACCTGTAAAAATGGTGCCACTTGTGTAGACGGAATCACCAACTTCACCTGTCAGTGTCCACCAGGTTATACGGGACAGTCTTGTGAAACCAACATCGATGATTGTGTTAATAATACCTGTCAAAATGGTGCCACCTGTATAGACGGGATCACCGGCTTCACCTGCCAGTGTCCACCAGGTTATACGGGGCAGCTTTGTTATACGCCTTTAACGACAGAATCGACGGCGACAACCGAAAAGCCTCACTCAGTAACGACTGTAGTCACTACGGAAACATTTGCCGTTGACACAGTTACAGCGGACAAATCTGTTTACACAACCAGTGTTCCAACAGATCCTGCGTCAACAGCAACTTCACCAACACCGATATTAACTAGGGAGACAGTGACATCGACAGGGATGACAGAGACGACAGCAGTTATGCCAGTCAATGCCACAGAACGCACATCTAAATCACAAGCAACTGGATCGCCACAGACGACTTCGGCTGCGCCACCTGAAACCACTGGCACCATATCTGCAGCAGCGATGACCACGGGATCTGTCACTGCTACAACATCAAAGAGACAAACAACAAAAACACCAATTGCGATAACGGAATCATTGACAACAGAAAGAGAGACGACAGAAATACCAAAGGGCGCTGATACCACTATTACAACGGGTAAAACACAACCGTTGAACACGTCACCAACCATTACAGATGTTAGGACGTCAGAAACACCAACAAAAGGAAAAAGCTCTACGGCAGCTAGTGTACAAACAACAACATCGCCATCCGTCATCAGTACCAGTTCTACGACGTCAGGCAAGCCAACAAAAACATACAATACTGCCGGAATGACAGCCGGAATGACCACTGAAAGTCCTTCAACAATTGCAAGTGCCAAATCACAAACAACAACGACATCAGTTAAGGTCACTGATCCGGTGACTTCAAAAGCGCTGCCCACCTCCACAGTGATCGTGACGACACCAAAGAGCCAAGAAACTACCAAAGCAATTCCGAGTAAGTGTTTTAAAATGCTCATGAATATTTCTTCTACATTTTTCTCAGATAAAAAAATACTTTAAAACACCAAGTAACAAAATGTGGAAATCTCACTTTATTGTGTTAATTTTTTATATAGCTTCATTTTGTTCTTGCTAAATGCAGATTATGTTTGTTAAGTACATGATATACCTACGCACTTTTTTATCATGATGAAATAACAATAGTTGCTTTTATTGCAGGTACTGTGATATTCCTTACTGGGGAAGTTACAGATACCAACAGTGCCGGCGTGCAAGATGCAATCAAAAAGCTTATTGCCTCCACTCAGCTGGGCAACGGCACCAACGTGGACGTTACTTTTGAGACGAGCCCCTTTGTCACCGCCACAGGGTAAATCGCTTATTTATTTATTTATTTATTTATTTATTTATTTATTTATTCCAAGCTAAATGTCTGTGTTTCGTTTTCGTTACGTGAAGATTTTCCCTAGGTATATGTGCATGACATATCATAAAGTTATACGACTTTCTAGTGTAAAACAAAAACAATAATTACAGATATGGTGTTAACCGTCTCGGGTGCGCAAAATTCACATTTTATTTGCCTGATATGAAATAATTTATCGATTCAAATTGGTGTATATTTTCCTAAAATACCAGAGGGACATGAGATATGTTTCCATTTTACAGAGAGAAAGTGACCAGACTGTCCTATCAAGTGACCATAAACGGACGACAGGTGTCTTCGAGCGAGGTCGGAGCTGCTTTGCAGGATAAGTCAGCGGAAGAGATACGTGCAGAGATAAACCACGACCTGCCTGCCGGCTTAACTGTGTATAACGGGGACAACTCCACACTTAATGCCGTTAATCCTGATGTCACGTCTACATCACCGCCGGTAAGTGACATCTGTGAAGGTGCAGTAACAGTTTAGAAATCTTATGAAAGGATTCGATGCATAAATGTTATTTCTTGTTTATTTACCTTTTGAAAGTTTTAAATGAGGATTGAAGATGGAGCGTGTAACCATGTGTCTTGATCTTTATTTCAGTCATGGATTGAGGTAAATTGGCCAATAGTTGCTGCCATTGCCGCCGGTGCTCTCCTTGTCCTTATCGCAGTAGTGGCTATTGCTTGTCGGAAACAGAGGTATTTTATTTATGATTTTACAAAATAACTGAAAGTCGGCTATATAACATCCAGTGTAAAACGGCAAATGTGCACTTATTTCGCCTGTTTCATTGGTGAAAAATGACTAAAAGTAACGTTTTTTTCACTGGATATCAAAGAATTTATCCTCCATTGAAGCAGACCAAAAATTTAAGTCTTGAGATCAGCACCAACTGTTAAGTCTTAAGATATTTTATGACACCGTCCCAAGATTGTGCAAATATGATCGTAATCAAGTAAATTGTCCAATTAGCGGAAAAATATCCATATTATTTTATTTAAAAAAGGTAACATTTATAAGGCACTCTTTAAGTTTTAGATTGGCTGCGGAACGGGGTGAACATCCAAGAGTAATAAACTATCGCTTTTTAGCATAGGTATTACACATGGCGAAATTTTCACCAAGAATTCAGTTTTAGCAGCATAATTTTTCTTTCAATTTCAGACGACCACAGAGCGAAAAAGATAATCTTCATCGCATGGGAGATTTTTCGGACACCTCAGATTATTGCCCCAACGGGAAAGCATACGACAACACTGTGTTCATAGAAAATGAAGAGAACACATTGCAGATTCCAAGACCAACTGTAAGAAGTTAACATCTTATGAAAAATTATATCGTCATTATTTTTAATTTTTCATCATACCATTCTCATTCGCCTTGATCAACCATTATGATCAGACGCAATTGTTCCATCTATAATGTTGGTCATATTTCAAGAAATAGCTTTCATTTCCTGCCTCGATGTGGCAAGTACATGTAAGATGCCGTAAACAAAAATATTCCGTCCTGAGGTTATACTTATTGCATATCAAGGGACAAAGACCCCATTCCCAGAGATTAGATCGATCCAAACTAGATCGACTTAACTCCCTGGGGGTTCACGCTAAATAGCTGTCAGCCGAGCCGGCACGAAAGTTAATTACCCCCTTACAGCTTGTAATAGGCAGGACGGACATTTAAGCCGGATTTACTACCAGTAATCTAGTGAGGCTCCCCACGGGGATAGATCGATCTAAAATCTATGGGAATACGAATACAAAGACAACACGAATACATGTAAAGTATTCTTTCGTTGATTTTTTACTTAAAAGGTCATGTTGAGTAATGAGGCAAAATTTTCTAGTTTAATGTGCCTGTAGAAGAACTGTGTCACTTTAATATACAGTTTGTGTGATTTTCTTAAAAATACGTCGAGATCTTAAGCGATGTGCCAGTTCTAACGAATCTTTAGCTTTTGATACACAGACCCTTTCTAAAGTTACAGTATTTTTTTATTTGGCAATAAGCTTTTTAAAGACGTAGTATATTTTTATTATATACCACTAAAAGGAATATACAATGTCTAATAAACTTTTTACTACCGATTGAAAGAAAAAATGAAGAAAGCAAAAATCAAAAGATTAAATCGTGAGGAAGGGCATCATTTAGGTATTAAAGTAGATAAAAATTATATTCGTGGTTATTTTTAAACGCCCTTCCAGCGAGATATCACTTAGAGTGGCGATGCATTCGCTTTCACTATAGTTATTAAACAGGAACATATGTTAATACTCTTTTCTATGCCTTTGTGTTCTTTCGTTTGTGTCTGTCCACTTGCGTATGCATGTGAATGTCTGCGCCAATTTCCTCCTTTTTTTACATAAACTTCTGCAAGTAGACGTTTGTATATTATATATATCAAGGTTTATATAAATAGGTTTATGTTTAAAAGATAAAGGTTCGTGTTGCTGTATAAAAGAGCTCAAGTTAATGGTAGAAAAATCAAAAGTGTGTTTATTTCCCTAGATCTTACCGATGTCATTATAGGTCATTCCTGTGCGCGTATGTTTGTATGTGAACGCGCGTCAGATTGCGTATTTGTGTATCTGGTTAGTTTGAGTTATTATACAAAGTTATATTAATGTATAGGTGATATTTTATCTTTGTTTTTTATCTTGCCATACATAGTCTTTCAAAGGGTAACACATTTATACAGTATAAGTATTATTTATAAGCGAAATAAAAAGACTAAAATAATTCACGTAAATTTGAATTGTTTTCTCTATTCTATGTGTCGCTTATTGAAGCACAATGATAACGACCTTTTATTTGGTTACTTCATGGCAAAAACTGAATGTACCGATGCACTCTTAAATCGGGGCATAAGGAAGCACCTGCAAAATATTTTATGGGCACATTTGGGACGAATAAGGCCCACTGAGAATAAAATCGGTCTGTTTACTGTTTAGCGAGCGAAAAGAGTCGGCGAAAGGGGTCAGCCAGACACTGGTCCCCGGTAAATTAACTCTGATTTTAGAGTCAGATTGACTCCATGAGAGCCAGGGGTGATTGACTCTGATAAGAGAGTCTAAAGTAGTGGGGTAATTTGACCCTTATATAGGATTCAAATTAACTCCATGAGGGTCAAGGGGTGCTGGACTCTGACTAAAGAGTCAAATGACAATTTTATTCTCAGTGCCAAAATATCTAGTTTATCAGTGCACAAACTACTAAAAAGAGACAAAATGTCAGATTTCTCAACGAACTTCTGTCTTGAGATTTCAACCCCCTGTTAAGAACCGCTTCAGTAATATAACGCTAGGACTGCTTAATGCTAAAATAACAGCGTTGCAAGCCAACATGGTGACTGTCATAATCAAAGTCGTCGGGGATTGTTTGTTAATGCTTTTTCAGAAATAAAGAAATCCAGCAGTCATTGCAGCTTACCTCAAATTTTTTTCTAAAACATTGTATGTTTATATTTCCTTTTGTACTGTCGTCGTAACTGTCTTAGATGTGGGGCAAGCATAAAGCGCTTACGCATGTGCAGCAGCAGCAGCAGTGACTCTGTTTGAACGAAACAAACTACATAATTAATTACAAATAATAGCCAAGCACGTGAGCTTATGTAAGTGCGAATGTGAGAAGTGAAATATAGCGCTCATTTCAATTATTATTGCATATAAACCGCCAATTTGAAATGAAATTAAATTCGGCGAAAATTTGGACACTACAATGTATCTGGTTGATCTGGTTGGAAGGTCTGCAGGTGCATGAATTAAAAAATGTTGTTGGCTTAATTTTATTTCTTCTCGAAAAGCAAATGCCAAAATTGAGCCAAAAACAATCCATTAACTATCCTGGTTATGGTATTTCACATTAGCACTGAATGTTGCCTACCAAGAGGAACTACAATAATCAACTTAGGTCCGTCCAAAATACGTTTATATTTAAAATTCAAATAATAACAACTTCATGTTGCTTACACTGATATATCTTTCTAAAACAAAAACATCTTTGTGAAACTCTCCCTCATTCCGAAATTTTCACGGATTGTCCATCAACGAAAGATTCTTCCGCTTTTTCCAAAGAAGGTTGATGACGGCGAACGGCTCATCCTTAGGTCGTCACTTTCAACTCACACTGTGTGCCGTAGTATCCATTGGTACAGAAACATTCGTAAGTGCCACCTTTGAGTTGGCAGTAACTGTTATTCTTGCAGGGATTTGGAGTACACGTGGCGGTTTCGCACCGGCTACCTTGAAACCCCTCCCTACACTGGCAAGAGTACGAGTTGGTATTGTCGATGCATTTAGCGCCATTCTTGCATGGATTGAAATAACAAAGGTCGAAATTCTCGCAGTGCCTGCCAAGAAAACCAGAAGCACATTTGCACGTGTAAGAATGCACCCCATCAATGCAGGTCGCGCCGTATTTACACGGGCTGCTCGCGCAGTCGTCGATGTTGATTTCACAATTAGTCCCCTTAAACCCACGTGGGCACTGGCACGTGTAGGAGTTCACATTATCATAGCACGTTCCACCGTTTAAGCATGGGCGGCTGGCACAATCATCTATGGAAACCTCACATAACGTCCCTGTGTAACCGACTGGGCAGGTGCAATGCTTTTGCCTCTTGGCAGAATTATAGCTACATGTGCCTCCATTTTTGCAATGGTTGACCGCGCATTCGTTGCAGTCAGCCCCTTTCCAACCTAAAACATGCAATATCATGATTATATGATAGTATTGCTATTTTTCATTATCTTAGAATCTCATATTTTTATCGAAACGGATCAAACGTGGTTTAATACTCTATTTTTTTTTGATTGCAACCAGACACTTTCAACTTGAAAAGTTAGCGTTTATACCGCACCTGGATCACAATACACGGCAAACTCCAGAAGCAATCTTATGAAAAATAAGATAATAAAGTATGTCAACATATTATTTATTCCTTGAGATAAAAACGCTATACTCTGACAGTGCTTCTAATTTGAAATAAGCAACAATAAAACTTTTAAAAAAGGGTGATACACGTTACGTGAATCGCGTTTTAAGACTAACGAAACAATTTCCAACTCTCTTGGTAACATACATATCAAAGGCATGACAAGAACGGTTTATCGGCTATTTTGATTTGTGTCGTTAAAAATTGAACGTACATACAGCTTATTTGATTTAAAGAACAAAGATTAGAGCTCAAAAACGCACGTCGTGGGTTCTCTTTTTCTGGTTCCTTTAATTAATCGACTGGTCCACGGTGCCGAGCTTTCGCTTGCTGCAGCTTTTGTGATAATGAATGTCCAAAGGTAGTCAACCATGTCACTATCCGCCAAAGAACCGTCTCTATCTATAACACCAATTTTCAGTTTGGAAGAGCCCTATAAGTAAGAAAGTGGCAATACAGTTCGTTCTAAATAATTTACAAAGTCTTAGGTAAGTGTAATTGTTGTTTATATGCATTGATGGAAGTTATAAAAGTTAAAAAATTCTATACATGGGAAGAGGATAATTTTTTTTCTCTTTTGTAAAGAAGGCCCGGGCCCCTTTATGCCAGGCAAGTTCGGTAAACGTTATGCACTATGCAATGTTATTTCACCAGCTTGATAGCGAGTTGTCAGGCCAAAAATATACTATCATCACGAACTTATATCAGCCACGTTACAAACAAAGATCACTCCTGTTTATTTATCTACTTCTGTGTTATCTACTCACCGGCCACGTCGTGAAACTGGCTTTAAAGGGTTTCGAAAATAAGGAATGGTCACGGAAGGTGATATATCTGTCTGGTATATTCCCTATATAACCAACGGATCCATACGCACAATAGCTGAGTGTATCAAATCTAAAAATATTCAAACAGCATTAAGGGTTCATCTCTCATATTATACCACATTTTGATATAAATAGTTGCTGACCAAACAAAAAAAAATGCCAGAAACTTTTTACTTTTAAGCACCAACCACGTGATAATTTCGGTGAGTACATCTAGATAGATTCATGTCAGGAATTGAAGTGCTCTTACTAACACATCATAGCAACAGTTAAGCACGCCGATCGGGCATGGCATTAGTAATAGCCGAATTATTAATTAACCATCAAACTTACCCCAGAGCGGTGTCAAAGCACAATTTAAATGCACTATCACATGACTGGGTACACGAAGTCATCCACCTGGTACTTTCGCAACAATAACCGTTAAAGTCGAAATAGTTTTCATTTTTGAACGAAGTTAAGCGTACAGCAATCTTGCCAGTGGCGTCGAGTGTTGTAAAAATCTAGTAATAAAAATCAGGTACCAGATAGAAGTAACTATATATATATATATATATATATATATATATATATATATATATATATATTAGCAGATTTACCGTCCTTATATTATGTATGTGTGCATTTATTCCGTCAACCATAAGAAGATTAGATGCTATTATAACGTCAGAAAATACAATAGAGGGAGTGTTATAATGATAGGGTCGCTAAACGATTTTTGACGGAAAATAGTGACTAGCCTAATCCCCTGGTCGCCTGGGTAGGCACTCCCCCTTAGAGTACTTACCTGTAAGTATCTATTCTTGTTCAAGAACACAGCGAATTTATAGAAATAGCCCAAGAATAAATGAAATACTGGGAGAGAGGGGAAAGAAAAATAGGATGTTTGCATGAGACAGAGAGTTATCAGATAGAATCCTCCAAAAATTACTCACCTTCATGAAAATCACCATGGATAACAGCCAGTAGCTAACCTTTCCCTTCATTTTGCCGCCCACCTACAGTCAACGTTTTGAAGTAAGTATATCGCGAACTGCGATGAACTGTATCTAGATTTACCGTTTGCACTACGGGTCTAGTTCCATCACCAAATTGTCCGATGTGTATTTTACGTTACGTCCAGAGTGACACGGTATTATCCAATTCGCAAAGAAAAAATGGCCGGGCTTTCCTTTAAAGTGACCTTAAATGGACGGCAGTTGTCCTCGAGCGAGGTCAGACCTGCTTTGCAGGATAAGTAAGCAGAAGAGATACACGCAGAGATAAGGAACGACCTGCCTGCCGGCTTAAAGGTGTATAACGGGGGGCAACTCCACACTTAATGCCGTTAATCCTGATGTCACGTCTACATCACCTCCAGTAAGTGACATCTGTGAAAGTGGGGTGACAAAGACATCATCGATGTTGTCAGTTTAACAATCTAATGAAATTGTTTGCACAAATGTTATTTCTTGATTATTGAGACTATCTAAAAGATTAAAGATGGAGCGTGTATCCATATGACTTAATGTTTATTTCAGTCACTGAAAATTGGGACGAACTGGCGATTGCTGTGGTCTTTATTGTAGTACATGTAGTGGCTATTGCTTGGCGGTAATAGAAGTATTTCCTTCATGGCAGCGTCCAAGGGTCAGTTTCAAAAAGCAAATAAAGACTGAAGTTGGCAGTAATCAGTAATCATTTGTACAGGTATACCAATTTAACCCGATTTGAAATGGGATTCATCGAAAATCTGGCCACTGTGTCTCACACGTTGACATGACCGGGAATGGAAGGCCAAGAACTAACAAAGAAGCTCCTGATTGTACTGGCTCAAAGATTTTTTTATTTCTTCTTGAAAATCAAATGCCTCTTTCCTATAGTGCGATTAAGTCAGCAAAAATTGGTAAAATTCACTGGTGGTTATATTTCACAAAAGAACTGAATATTTTCTATCCAAAAATGCAACAATCAACTTCAGGCCCCTTCAGAATACAGCATTCCAATTAAACAGACGCCTATTATATATTTTCTTCATTGTAGGGTTACATGCTCGACATACTAGTTTCATATAATTTCGTGCAGTGCCTTTATTGCTTTTACATTTATATTTTAATGTTATTTTAAAAAGACTGAAATGATAGTAACTTTCTGTTGTCAGGATGCTTGTCTCTAACACAGAGAGAACACACTGAAACTACATAAATCTCTATATTGAGTAGGTCCTATGTTTATGGACTTATGTTTATGGATCGTCCATTCAACGAAGGACCAAAAGTTCTTGCGCTGCCCATTGGTCATTATCAGCACCGTTTCTCACAAAACTGACCGCAGTACCCACGACGGTAGAGACACTCGTAACTGGAACCAGTTTCGGAAACACAGATTCCTCTGTTGCGACATTGGACATTAGTGCAAGGGTGTAGCTCGGTGCAGTTTTTCCCTAAAATGATAAAAAAAAAGAAAACGAATATTTTTTACCTAGAGCCCCAGAGGCTAAATAATGATAATAATGATATAATATGATAATTAGGTTGGCCCTGAAATCCAGTACAGGCAAATATTAATTTCATAGAATTACCATGAGTTTCAGAACGATGGATTTCAGCTTCTTTATTTCAACATCTACCAATGTATACATGCAGGCATATGTGGGTATTTTAAAAAAAGAAGCCAGCACCCACGGCAACTGTACCATGGGGTCGGACGAATAACTATTCTAAATTTCTTAGTCAAGATTATGATTTTGCTGCAAAGCTTTGTGTCAAACTGCAGTGCATTATTAATATTTGACAGGCATTTTTGTAGGTATAATGAAAGTATTTTATATATACTTAAAATAAGTTATCAAACATGTACATATTGATATGGACGTAGATCCATACCTGTGTACCCTGGCTTGCACCTGCAGTTCTGCGAACACAGGTCGTTTCCAGAGACGGTTGATGGCGGCGGTTCGCTCTTGCATTGGTCCGTCGTTATAAACTCACACTGTGTGCCGTAGTATCCATTGGCACAGAAGCATTCGACGTTCCCCCTGTGACGTTGCAGTAACCGTTACTCTTGCAGGGATTTGGAGTACACGTGGCGGCTACCTTGGAACCCCTCCCTACACTGGCAAGAGTACGAGTTGGTATTGTCGATGCATTTGGCGCCATTTTTGCATGGATTGAAATAACAAACATCGAGGTTCTCACAGTGCCTGCCAAGAAAACCAGGAGCACATTTGCACGTGTAGGAATGCACCCCATCAATGCAGGTTGCGCCGTATTTACACGGGCTGCTCGCGCAGTCGTCGATGTTGATTTCACAGTTAGTCCCCTTAAACCCACGTGGGCACTGGCACGTGTAGGAGTTCACACTATCAAAGCAATTTCCACCGTTTAAGCATGGGCCACTGGCACAATCATCTATGGAAACCTCACAGGAAGTCCCTGTGTACCCGACTGGCAGGTGCACTGCTTTTGCTTCTTGGCAGAATCATAGCCACAGCTGCCTCCATTTTTGCAATGGTTGACCTTGCACTCGTTGCAGTCAGCCCCTTTCCAACCTAAAATATACAATTTCGTGATTACATGATGGTATTATCATTTTGCAATATCACACAGGCCCGTAGCCAGGGGGGGTTCGGGGGGTACGAAAGAACCGCCCCTTTTGTTGGGAAAAGGTCCACTCTGGGTAAAATTTGATCTAGGTACATGAAGTTTATATGGGAAAAGGTCCACTTTTTCAGAAAAAGAACCCCCCTTTGAAATTGCTGGCTACTGGCCTGTCACAACATGTATATTTTTATCAAAACTGATCATACGTGTCTTGACAGTCTATTGAAAGTATAGAAGCACATTCCACATCACATCTGTTTATTTCATTGATTGTCAATCTTGTTATTTTGGATTCTTTGTTAATAAATGTATTGTTTTATGAGTGGAAAAGGTATGTGCGTTTTTTTTAAGTGGCAACCGGACACTTTAAAATTGAAAAGAAAGCGTTTAAACCGCACCTGGATCACAATACACCGCAAACTGCAGAAGCAATCTGACATAAAAAAAAAAAGAAAAGTATCTCAACATATCTGTCATTTGTCGAGGTAAAACACGTTAAAATCTTGCGTGCAGTGATTCTAATTTAAAAAGGAGCAACAACAAAACTTATTTTGGAAGAAAAACATATTCTCTGAAAGAAGATATTTTTTTGAATCGTGGAGCAATTTCCTATTTTCTCGGGAAAGTACTCATTAGAAAATAAGAAAAGAACGAGTATATCAGATACAAAAATTTGTATAGTTAAAAACACAAATAGCCAATTATATAGAAAAAATTTTGAAATCACTAACGCACGAAGTAGGTTCTCTGTTTCTGGTCCCTTTCATTGATCGTCTGGTCCATGAAGCCGTGCTTTCGCTTGCTGCAGCGTTTGTGATAATCGATGTCCACAGATTGTCAACCAAGTCACTATCCTCAAAAGGACTGTCTCTATCTAAAACGCCTATTTTCAGTTTGAAAGAGCCCTATAAGCAAGAATATTGAAGACACCGATGAATACAAATATTCTACAAATTTTAAAGTACGTATAAAAGTTTGTTATATTAATTTTAATGTATTTTTATGCATTTTCTTTAAAATGAATACTAATTTTTATTTAGGGGAAGAGAGGACAATATCTGTTATTTGTAATGAAGAACCTATTTTCGCAAGACGAGTTTTGTTAGCAATTAGCATATGATAAACTCCTATTATATATTAACCTGACAGCAAATTGATAGGTCAAAATTATTCTAAAAAATCAAATTAAGCTGCGTCCTTTTTTTCGTTAGACGTTGTTAGAAACAAAAGGCAAACATGTGCGTTTATTTACTTCTGTGTTACTCACCGGCCATGTCGTGAAACTGGCTTGAAAGGGTTTCGCAAATAAGGAATGGTCACGGAAGGTGATATATCTGTCTGGTATATTCCCTATATAGCCAATGGATCCATACGCACAATTAGCTGAGTGTATTGCTTCTAAAATGTACACACGGCATTTTAATCTTATTTTTTTATTGATTTTATACCAGATTTTAGTGGAATCACTTAGTAGAAAAATATCTTAAAAGATTGCCAGAAACTCTATATAATAAAAGTATCAATCACGTGACCATTTTGATGAATGTGTTTTTATAGATATATTTCAGAAATTGAAATGCTCTTACTAACACAATAACATAATAGTAACAGTTGAGCATATTAATGACGCCGATTGGCTACGACATTGAGAAATAGCGGGGAATTGACACAATTTACCGTGTAACAACTTACCCTAGAATGGTGTCAAAGCACAGTTTAAATGCACTATCACATGGCTGAGTACACGAAGTCGTCCACGTAGGACTTTCGCAGTAATAACCGTTAAAATCGAGATGGTTTTCATTTCTGAACGAGGTTAAGCGTACAGCAATCTTGCCAGTGGCGCCCAGTGTTGTAAAAACCTAGTGATAAAAATCCAGGTACCAGACAGATCAAAATTTGAAGATATTTTGGTATCAGTTCTTGTTCAAAAACACATCAAATTTATCCAAAAAGCTGTAGAAGAACCGGTATGAACGGGGAGACGGAGTGGAGGAAAAGTGTGTGCGCGCGCGCACGCGTGTGTGTGTAAGAGAGAGAATGAGAGAGAGAGTGAGAGAGAGAGAGAGAGGGAGAGAATGATGAAGACGCGAGAGAAGCCAACGACTAGAATGTATAGGTTAATGACGGAATAGTTCAAGTTTAAATCAGCAATAATAACTCACCTTGAGTAAAATAACCGTGCATAACAGACAGGAGGTAAATTTCACCTTCATTCTGCCGATCATTTAATTTAAGTATGAAGTATATTGGAAAATGTATTATAAAATAACAACTTCACCACAAATAGGCAAGGTTCTGAAGTTAACTGCAAACTGCAATGAACTGATCCTAGATCCGCAGTTTGCACCACGGGCCTTGTTCCAAATATTGTTCTTAGTTACACAATAAGACCGGGAGATAGGATAATGCCTCATACAATTAACCTCCACTGATCCGTTACATCATAATTCCAGCAAACAGTAATTAAAATGATATCTCTTCCTCTGATATCTACACATGCTTGATATGTAAATAGTAATGAAGAAATGTCCTTGAAGACACTGATGTGACTGTGATTGCCATTAAGACAGGTTTGTTTGCCCTTTTAGCAGTATCAAAGTGAATTTTAAAAGAAGTTGTTCTTGCGTTGAATACGGCAAATTACCGGGGATTTTACACACGCACACAAACACACATACTGTAGCTTATATCTCTGTGAATAAAATGATTTAGTTTCATTATCGAGCACAAGAAAAAAATATTACCATTCTTTCAGAGATTTTGTTTCCCACAATCATGGTTTTATCAAATTACATTAAGTTTCAATTAAATCTAATAGTTCTATAGCCGACGAAGAAGACATATGTTTTCAACATTGCGTCTGGTCACATGATATTCGAACTGTAACGTGGATAATTTTTTACATGTTAAAAATATTTAAAACTTATTTTCCTTTCGGACGACGAGGACGGCTTAATTGCATCCAAATTATCTCGGGTAAATTAATAAATCATAGATGGCACCGAACCTGTACACTATGAACATAAGCCTGTTAATCTATTAAAATAATTAAGATGAAAGGTGAAAATGAGAAACCTAGAACTGAATGACAGATAATAAACGGTTTTTTAACGATTTTAGAGGGTATACTTTGATGATAAAAGACAATATGTAAAGGTAAAACGTGAGCATTATTATATGATTTTAATCATTGTAACTTCCATCAAAAACAAATTATCATATTTTTCTTAATCAAAAATTTGAATTTTATCATTTAAAACTAAAATAAGAAGTATATTTCCGAAGTTCAACAATCAGTTTCCTTTGTTACGAAGTTTTTACGAAGTGACTCGTGTCATATCCATTCAATTATCAGCACTGGACTTCGCAGAAGCGACCGCAGTGCCCCTGGCGGCAAAGACACTGGAATTCGAATTCGGACTCGGAGACACACACTCCCTTATTCTGACACGCGACGTAAGCGCAAGGATCCCGTTCGTTGCAGTTTTGACCTTAAATGGAAAATTCACCATATAACAAAACTGTACTTTTTCTGAAAAATGCTTTGTCAGAACAATTCTGTTGTTGGCTTGTCTCACACAAGTAACTTAAATATAGCCATACTTTATCAGTGTACATGTACTCTGGTATATATTTCACTGACTTTATTATAAAGTATTATCATGTAGTTATGTGATGTTTAATATATGGTAACATTTAAAGTTACCACTGGCAGGAAAAAGCATAATTAAATCTGCAAATATTTAATATTGCAAAATAGATTACGTGTGTTTTATTTTTTATTATTATTATTTTTTATTTTGTATGCATGTGTGTGTGTGTGTGTGTGTGTGTGTGTGTGTGTGTGTGCGGGGCAGGGGGGGGATTGGGTGGCGCAACTCCCTGTACGAATTTTCGGCTCTGTTGCAGGGCTTAACTGTGATTCACTCTTACTGATTACGAAGGATGCATTTATGCAAAAAGAGCTGGGAAGCAACGCGTATGCTCAGCATACTGTTCGTGGATGTTCATCGTATTGCAAGGATAAGTGACTTCTTACAGATAAGAATGCTTACGTACCTTTCATCCCGTGCTTGCATTTACAATTATAGGAGCAAATGTAGTTCCCGGTAGAGGACCCGGTCAACTTGTGGAGGGGATGCTGGCAGAAGGTACCAAAATAGCCATCTTTACAAAAGCAAGTGGCTTGGTTGTTCTGTGGAATGCACACACCACCGTTCTGACATGGGCTTTTCTGGCACAATAAGGCCATCTGGCAACGGTCTCCTGCGAATCCTGCCGGGCAATCACATCGGTGTCCGTCAGAAGTTGGAATGCAAGTTCCATGATTCTCACATGGTTGGGCAGAGCAGGGGTTGAGGCGGATTTCGCAGAACTTGCCGGCAAATTCAGGTAGGCACTTGCAAAAGAAGCCCCCAACGATGTCGTGGCAAGTTCCAGAATTTTGGCAAGGGTTGCTGAAGCATTCAAAAATTTCAAACTGGCACTGTGGGCCGTAAAAGCCGTTGCTGCAAAAGCATGCAAAATGGTCATCCTTTTTCTTGCAGTGACCATTGTTTTTACAAGGGTTTGATAAACACGCGTCGCTGCTCGTCGGGGTGGTGCTGACATTTGTTGTTTCTAGGATTTCACACTGTTGTCCGCGATATCCTAATTTACACTGACATGTATAGGAGACGCCGTTGTCGATGCATTTCCCTCCGTTTTGACATAACTGGCGGTGACAAGGACTTGCTTTCTCGCATCTGTCGCCTACAAAACCACGCGGGCACAGACAGCGGTATGAATCGATTTCATCCAGACACGTTGCGTTGCTTAAGCATGGGTCACTAGCACATTCGTCAATGTTGTTTTCGCATTGCCTGCCTGTAAAACCAGACCGGCACAAACACTTAAAGCCATTCACAGCGTCTTGACATTTCCCATCGTTGGTACAGGGCATGCTTGAACATTCGTCTATGTCAGTTTCACAAGACTGTCCCGTATAACCTGGTGGACACTGACAGGCAAAGTCGGTGATTCCGTCTACACAAGTGGCACCATTTTGACAGGTATTATTAACACAATCATCGATGTTGGTTTCACAAGACTGTCCCGTATAACCTGGTAAACACTGACAAGTATAGTCGGTAATTCCGTCTACGCAAGTGGCGCCATTTTGACAGGTATTATTAACACAATCATCAATGTTGATTTCACAATATTGTCCCGTATAACCTGGTGGACACTGACAGGTGAAGTCGGTGATTCCGTCTATACAGGTGGCACCATTTTGACAGCTAATAATAACACAATCGTCGATGTTGGTTTCACAAGATTGTCCCNGGTGGCACCATTCTGACAGGTATTATTAACACAATCATCGATGTCGGTTTCACAAGACTGTCCCGAATAACCTGGTGGACACTGACAGGTGAAGTCGGTGATTCCGTCTACGCAAGTGGCACCATTTTGACAGGTATTATTAACGCAATCATCGATGTTCGTTTCACAAGACTGTCCAGTATAACCTGGTGGACACTGACAGGTGAAGTCGGTGATTCCATCTATACAGGTGGCGCCATTTTGACAGGTATTATTAACACAATCATCGATGTTGGTTTCACAATGTGTACCTGTAAATCCGATCGAGCAATTACAGATGTACATGTTGATAAAATCCTGGCACGTTCCATTGTTCTGACATGGGCTACTGCCACATTCCTCAATATAAGACTCACACAGCTGCCCCGTGTATCCATCGCTACAAACGCAGGTGAATCCATTTATGCCGTCCTGGCATGTGGCGTTATTTTGGCATGTGGCGTTGAGACAGTCGTCAATGTCCGTCTGGCACTGTGTCCCTGTGAACCCTGCCATACACTGACACTGAAAGGATTCAACGCCGTCCACACACGTGGCATTATTATAACAAAAAGCGTTAACACAGTCATCAAGGTTCGTCTCACAAATTGTCCCGGTAAAACCATTAGGACACTGACATGTAAACGCGTTTATTTCATCCTGACAAGTCCCACTGTTAACACACGGGTTGCTGTCACATTCATTGATATCAGTTTCACACAGGGTCCCTGTGAATCCCCCGGGACAGTCACAGGTGAATCCATTGATGTCGTCCAGACACGTGGCATTATTCTGGCACGGACTGCTGGCACATTCATCAATGTTAACCTGGCAGAGAACTCCGGTATAACCAGGGGCACACTGGCACGTGTAGGCATTCACCCCATCCAGACACGTGGCGCCGTTCTGACATGGACTGCTGGCACATTCATTGATGTTTGTCTCGCAGTTAACTCCCGTGTATCCGGGGGGACACTGACACGTGTAGGAGTTTATGTTGTCTTGGCATACCTTCCCTTTATTACATGGGTTACTAGCACATTCGTCTATGTTAGTGGCACAATCTGCTCCTGTGTATCCTGAAATTTAGCATAAACTTGAATATGCATTTATAACGGTTGTGAATAGACACGCCATTATAACAAAAACGATATTAACTGTTCTTGTTTTTATTTTAATCCTAAATAAGCTAGTTGTATATTTCTGAAACATGTAGTCTTTCTAAAATGTCTTACCAGAAAACAAATTATAATTATCCACGGTATTTTATGCACGACGGTCTTTTTCTAACCTAAATATTTGACATAATAGATATTTGCTAATGATTAGAAATACAATACGACAGCTTAAAAGGGTTTACTGCCTTACCTGGGTCACAATAAACTTTGAATTGCAGAGTAAGCCTATAGAAAAGAAAAAGAAATTAAGAGTGGTAGTGTATTAAGGTATGGTAGTTTGGGGTCCCATATGATTGGGACAGGTTAGGGATAGTCTTCGTATTTAAGTTAGTATATGTGACAAATGTCATGTGTACAAAGTTACGGGAACGCTTTTGCCCCCAAGCCAGAAATGCATTAATGTGGGTCATAAGGTTGTGGAAAACACAGAGAAAAAGTTTATTTGATAAAAAAGCAATATAGGTATGTATATTTTTCTATACAATTCCACAAACTGACGGATAGTCTGGATTATTTTAGCAAACGGTAGAATATTTTAGAGGGCTTTCGTTGGCCTTGATAGTATGTCAAAGGGTTACCATATGCACAATGTGGTGCTCTTATCCGCCGTGCCATGACTTTATTTAACGACTTTATTTATACTTTTGCCTGCCCATACATGTATAATTTATTTAATGTATATACATTTAATGTTAAAGTCTCTTTCTTTTAAACTAAATGATTGAAAGCAATATGAAAAATTGTTTAAACCTAATGTAAAGAGTTAATAACTACATAACCTATTGTGAAAACAGATATACGGATTATAAGAGGGAACATTCAACATACGTCGTGGGTTCAACGGCATAATATATACTTGAGTTTCCTGAAATATAACATGAAATTGAATTTGCATTTATAAGGGTTATGTAAAGACAGGCTATTATACCATGAAACCAATGTTAGTCACTGTTCCTACTTTTATTATACATATTGTATATCCTTTATAAACTAGTTGTATATTTGCAAAAACACTGCAGCCTGTCTATAATATCCTAGCAGAAAACAAATTGTAAGTGTTCTCTTTTTAATTTAAACATTTGTCATAATAAATATTTGCTTATGAATAAAAATACAACACGACAGTTTTAAAGGGTCTTTACTGCCTTACCTGAGTTAAAATAAACGGTAGCTTGCTGAGTTGGCCTATGAAAAAGAAAATAATTTTAATTCATAACAATTATTATATGTTAAACGACTTGTAAACCCAAAGTATAACCGCGTCAGCGAAGGAGAATACCCTGAGTATACAACATTGGTCAAAAAGGTTGTCCCAACCCCAGTTTCATGTGACTTTATATTTATAAATGATCACATCACAGGAGTTAATTGCCATGAATGGTGATTTTCATTCCAGATACCATAACTAACATTATTTTTGGTACAGAAAATACCAAATAGTGGTGAAGATATCCATATTTAATATCATTTATATTTATTTATTTCATGTACCCCCTATAATCCGATGTTGCACTGTCATTTCCACAGAGGTAAAGAGATGCCCATTAAATTAAAAGGACGCCACCAAATGTCACCAAATTTACACACATTTAGCATTAGGGTGTGCTCGTTAAAGGTCACGTATCTATTAGCGTGTGTGTTTACTGTGTACTGTAATTACCTCCTGTAGACGCCGCTGTCTTCAACAAGGGTAACAATTCTGTTTTGTGGGATATTGTCCCGTGTTTCCTAAAAAGCTTGGCGGAATTGGTCCGCACTACTTGGAGTTTGGTTCTCCTCTGGATTGCACACTTCAATTCATGCCACGGATGCTTAGTGGGTTTATTATCAGGTTTCAAAGATGGTTTCTCCAACTTCAGAACATTGGGATTCTGTAACAAATCACACACCAGACGAGAAATGTGTGCAAGTGTGCTTTCATGATGAAGCCTGGGTCAACCCCGAAGTCCTTTCTTGCAGATGGAATGAGGTATCAGTTGGTAATGTCAGGTCGAGTGACCCCAGCACCACCAGAACTTGGTCAACCATCACTAGAAACAAGTTGGTTTTGCTGAAGAATCAAGGTATTTCTTGTATGCCTTCGATGGTCAAATTAGGGCCCGTAGACATGTTGCAGAATACTTTTTGGAAGGTGTGTGCAGGATAATATCGCCTGAGGTGTCAGGTCAGTTGATGTTTGGAGAGCATTCCAAGCCCATGGTTTTAGTACATTGTTCTTTCCGGAAAAGTACGTTATTGGGGCAATTCACTGAAACAATCTCAACAAATATCTCACTCCATTTGCAAGAGGTGACTTCAGGGATACTACAGGCGTCATCGTGGAAATGCACTTGCACACAGTTATCGTTTGCAGAGTGATTTGTTGCAGAAACCCAATGTTCAGAGGATGTAGCAACCATCTTTGAGCCTAGCTGATATTAACCCTACTAAGCATCTGTGACATGAATTGATGTGTGCAATGCAAAGGAGAAACAAACTCGTAATAATCTGGACCAACTCCCCCAAGCTCTTTAGGAAGAATGGGACAACATTCAAAACAGAATTGTTATCCTTGTTGAAAGCAGGCAGCGCCGCCTACAGGAGATAATTACAGCACGCGGTAGACACATTCGCTATTTGACACGTGACCTTTAACTAGCACACTCTCATGCTAAATGTGTGTAAATTTGGTGACATTTGGAGGTGTCTCTTCAATTTAATGGGCATTTCTTTACCTGTGTGAAAATCAGAGTGAAACGTAGGATTTGAGGGGGTACATGTAATAAATGTGAATAAATGGTAATAAATATTGATATATTCACCGCTAGTTTGTCTTTTCTGTTTCACTAATCATGTTAGTTATGGTATCTGGAATGAAAATCACTATTTATAGCAATTTTCATTTGTGATATGATCATTTATAGATGAAAGCACATGATACTGGAGGTGGGACAACCTTTTTGACCAATGTTGTATACTGGGATGGATTTTTTCTTTCAATTATTTCTGGAATATGTTTTAGTTTTTCTCATAAGAAGATATTATTTGGCACTGATGTCATTCCAACATTTTGCTGATATCAACATACGACGAGGGTTCTGTCCTCCTAGTTCCCTGCAAGGACACCGAGGTCCAGGATGCAGCGTTCTCACTGGGGGCGGCGGCTGTTGTGATGGTCGTCTGAAGGAAGTCAATAGGATCGTTGTCTCCGGATGGGCCTCCATCTAAATCCATCACATCCACTTTTAATTTGAAGGAACCCTAAAAGGACACACAGCATTGTCATGTTGCACTGTGAATAAGTATATTATATAAATATAAAACTTCGCATAAGATTTTACTATTAATTGTAGCGGCAAGCATGATATTAAATAAATTGCTAAAAGGCAAATTCAGGATTTAGCATGATTTAACAGTTTACATCGAGTGGAAGAAAAACACACCGAATATCTGCATAACCATCCATACAGTTCTTATATCTATCACCCCTGAACATTCAGCCTTACAAGAAGCATCCCAAAAAGGCGAATAAAGAGTATATATTCACGGTTACATAAAATCTCTTGGCATGTGTGTAAGTACACTTACCGGCCATGAGGTAAGATTTGCAACAAATGGCTCTTTGAATCCATTTTCATTTCTAAAATTTATGTCATTGCTCTTTATGTCCCCCAGATATCCGAAGGATCCGTAAGCACATGAATCCATGGAATTGCTCCTGGAATATAATACAAAGTATGTACATTTTAGCCTATTTCCAACCTACTAAACAAAAACAGAACTTTCAGTAAAATTGAATTGTGTTCACAACGCATAGGAACAATAAGAAGTATATGGATCATCTTTCAGAGGTTACAAATCGAAATCTAAGATTCGGTAATACCTTCAGATATATATATATATATATATATATATATATATATATATATATATATATATATATATATATGGTGCACGTGTCGAATTTCATAGATGTGCTCATCAGGCAATTTTCAATGTTCTGTTCTGCTTTGCAATTTAAAAAATTTACACATTTAAAAAATTCATTTCAGTTGACATGTATTGTGAAAATGTAACATTTTGATTTCTAATGCTTATATTTCAATCACTCATTGTATTCAAAGTGAAAGTTCATTACAAATAAAACGAAATGATATTAACTGATTCAGGACTTTAACGTACATGTAGGGGCCTACTGATTTTAGACTGATTATACAAGAACCGTCTATCTTACAGTTTTTGCCCTTTACACCTACCCGCTGCTGCCGTCAAAGCACAATTTGAACGTCGTATCACATTTGTCTGTATTGCACCAGAATGTCAGAAAAGTGTCGCAGCACTGTCCATTTGCACTTTTATAATTTTGATTCTTGAAGGTAAGCAGCTGCACTGCAATCTTCCCAGTGGAATCCACTTTTGTTAGGAGCTACAATTTTTAAAAGTACTTCAAATTGTGTCAATCTAAATATCTGCTGTTTTATTCTATTGATTAAAATCTGAACGCTAATAAATACATTCGAGGAGTCACAGTGGCAAATTTGTATTTCTGAAGAAAGTTGCAATGCCACAAAACGCCATAATATCTGAATTGCATAACTCTGATTAATTTTTAAAGAAGGATACGAAGTAGATTTCAAGTTACTGTGTGCGTGCGTGCGTATGTGTGGGTGTGCATGCGTGGTCGCGCACGTGTGTGTGAAAGAGAGATATGAAAAACTGACCTTAATTAATATTATGATGAGAGTCAAAACCAGCGAAGCACCCGTCAGTTTCATAATGGATATCGGTGAAAGACAGGTTGAAAACAACTGACCGGCACAGCGTGCAAGGACTCATGTGAAAACATCCATATGAGACCTTAACTTAACATGTGGATAACCTTTGCTATATCCCCGATAACGTAGTTCTGCGAAATTAAACATTGACCTGGATGCAGATTAATAACCATTTGTATACTGACCTTGGAGAAGGGACAAAAAAGGAGTAATGAATATCCTTAAAGAAAAATGACCACAGTAATATAACTTAACCATTATTCACATAAATAATAATATTAAAGTTATATAGATTAAGGCCTCTGACAGCGTGTAAAGTAGTAACTGACGAGTGGTTTTACAGCTGCAAATGTAGTGAGGGGAATATATTTCTGTGTTCGTTGTTAATGTGGAATCGAATGTAAATGAAAAATTATATATTCTAAAAACCTCAATTTAAATTCTACTGTGAACATGTATTAGCCGCTGCCCCGATGAAGATATAATGAGCTATCTTCTCATCACAACGTGCATCATTTGTTCTTTGAGATACTTTGAAAATGCAGTTTCGCTAGAGCTGGAAAACTGAGCTCATGGGTAACCAAAGTGGCCGAACATGAACATGTGCGCCTACGGTATTTTGTAAACATTTTTAGTTTTTGATTCCGTCAGTTTTTATTGCAGTGAAGACCGTTGTCATTGTGATTAGTTCGTTTTTAGGTTTTCTCAACAAAAATAATAACAGCTGTGATGTACATCTAAAGTAAACAAAACCGAATACTTTTTGGAGAACCTAAACAAAAAGTTGTGAACATCACTTGACGCAATGTATGTCTTCACTAACACAATGGCATCAGCCAGTAAATTCACATAACAGTGCACGATTTGCTTCAACAAAGTGACTCTGGATAATGTCTACCCTCTACCAGGGTGGCACATATTATAGGGAAATTTTGAAATTGTAAGGGAATGAAATGACTGTCTATTTATCTAAAGGCATATCTGTGAATATCTTGTGAAAAATTAACCTGTCGCCCTGGTAGAGGGTAGCTATTGTCTGTGTTACAACAAGAAAGTCATATATTCACAAGATATTCATGAACAGAATATTATGTCATGGCATGGGGGGGGGGGGGGGGGGGGTTGGAATCAGCATGATTGAAAAATAGATAATTTTTTTCTTTGAAATCAATATTAGTGTTTGATTTGAACTCTTCAGTAGGCCACGAGTGACCGTTAAGTTAATATCTGGCTTTTCTATCATTGTGACTCGAACTTAACGCAATGTAATTAATGAAAAATGTATCAATTCTAATCAAGTCAGTGAATGAACAGCTTTCTTTTCCATTTCTTTTCCAGAATCCATTGTTTTAGATGCGAAATGCGCCACAAATAGGCAAATCAGCCAGTGTAAAACAAGAGCCTTCCCTTGCAAACGATAGGGCCGATTTCAAAAGAGAATTCAAATTATTTTATATATTAAAAAAATTAATTTAAAAAAAACACGTTTGCATGAAATTACACCCAATTAAATAAATATTGATATCAAACATTAACATTTCTTCCGCTTCATAAAACAGTAACTGATTTAACTTGAGCCAAATTAGACAAGGAATTCTTTTTTTTTTCTTTCTTTTTTTTTTTTTTTTTTTTGTCACAGAGAGATTGTTTTCACTGAATTTTCACAGACAGTTCTCTGACTAATTCTGTACCTCGAAAGACGTTTTGCCAGAATTGACGTCATCGTCTTGCGGGCCTCCGGTAAACACATAGTAAAAGTCGATCTTGTCTGTTGTAAGACACACATTTGCTCATCTGCATTGTTTCAGTGAATAATCATGTTCACATTCCAGTAGAAATTAATAAACATGTTCTTTCTTTATTTAAAACGTATATACATAACCTAATCGTAGCATTATCTTAGAATCGGTCATGTAGCAGCTGTGATTACATTCTACCTTAAATTGTATTTTGATTTAAAGAAATTATACAATTATGTAAAATTGCATTAATTCCAGAACAAATTAGACTCACCTACGCAGCTGTTTAAATAACTTTGGGGAGGGGTGATGTCACTTTTTATCTTACAAGACAGGGTTAAGTAGCAAAAAGACTTCTGTTTAATTTTTCTTTGCCACTTAATGCGAAATATTTTGAAGAAATTTATGTCAGTGATGATTATTAAAAATCCATGATTTAATATCTTACATTTTATTTGAAGTATTAAGTTATGTTTTAATAAGCACTACTATTAAGGCTACCGTTAAGGTTTTCTGAAGATGCTTTCGTCAATGCTTTGCCTCAGATTGTAGTAAATGTTATTTATTATGTAATTATTCCTTTTTTGAGATTTAAGATACGTATTTCATTTTTGTAAATTAAGTCTCCGTTTTATAGTTATAGAACTTCTATGTGTAATTATTTACCAGATTTTATTGCTTAGGTGATTGTGTGAATGATTTCGTATTGCTAAATGGGATTTGTTTGCTGATTGCAAGCCTGCATGCTTCTAGTTAAAGATTTAGCAAGGTGCAGTAAGTGTAACTGAAATATTTTAATCAGTCCCAGATCTATCTGTACATGAATGTCTACCTAATTAAAGTAACTTTTGGTCTCAGGCATGAACCGTTTTCCCGTTTCATAAAAATAGTCACTGATTTAACCTGGGTCAAATTAGACTAGAAATTCTTTTTTATTAAGTTAGGACCAACTGATGTCGTTCCGTTCTTTTGTGTCTCCGACCCATGTCCTCCATATACCGTGTAGGACGGCGATCAGTTGACACTGAAGATTAAGGGTTACGTTATTGAATAATGCCATCAATCATGACGGGCCTGCCAACAAAGGCATTCACACCTCAAGCACGGTCTTATCTAGACGTGTTTGCCTGGGCATCCTCCTCTCATAGACCGGCCCATCCTGTGTCAATACGTAATGAGTTGACCACTGTCACGCTGAGAGGGGCACGGTAGTCGCCTTGTTATTGGTTTGATACTTTATTGATAAAAAAATAGTTTACAAACCTCTTATACATAATGGGTGAGGGGGTTGCGTGGATATAAGATCTCGACAAATAGACGTAGATAATTTTTTTATATGACATAGTCCAGACAAAAAAGTTTTCACCAGGACAAAATTTATTTTAAAACTGGATAGAAACATTTCAGGTTTTGGCTGGTTACGCATATTTTCCTTTTTTACCCTTTTTAGTGAGAAGTAGGTACCTTTGAATCGGGTGCACATGACCCGCTGTAGTCACTGCTGTCTGGCATCTCGAATTATCTTGAATTCATAGAGAAGAAAACACAAGGAAAGGCGAAAATAAGTCTTTGTCGTAATCATTATGGGGGTTTATGAAAGTAGTCATGATAAGGATAGAAATGGCATAATTGTTATTTCACTAGTTATTTACTATTATTTGTAGCGCATTACTAGGGATAGTTCTAATTGTAAATATTTTCATCCCCCCTCCTTCTCTCTCCCTCTCTCTCTCTCTCTCTCTCTCTCTCTCTCTCTCAGATGTGGGTGAGGGTGTCCGGGAGAGGAACGGAAGATTTATACGACGATTTTAGGTGTACTAAAAACGATGTTGAAATATCAAAATACAATATCGTCTTTATAGCGAAGAATATTGCCCCATATCTCAACCAAAATTTCAATCAAACGTAGATAACAAATACGGCAACGCTAAAATTCGTTGCATTTTCCCCTTATAGTTAATAATATGAAAATAATATAAATCACTGCTGCCGGAATAAGGAATAACTCCCCACTTCCGTGAAACGCCTAGAAGACTAATATGAGATTCTGTTTGAAATCACACAAACATTATAAAATAAACCAAAACGTAAATCCATTGATCCATTCAAATCTCATTTAATAAACGGAAATTGGGTTCACGTCTAGTGAATCAAAATGTAATGGTTTTTAAAATGATAAATAATAATGTGGCAGAACAACGGTAATACCCTATGCAGCCTACGCGGCAGGTTGTAATCTGTTTGGAATGTGTAGTTCAGAAGATTTGTTTGCGTAACGTGGACATATTCTTCAACATGTCATCTGTGATCAAAATATCGGGATTAAAACCCAAGGAGTTGTCTCACAGCCTCTCCATGGCTATGCCACGCCTTAGGGCTCATGGTTGTGCAATTCTATTAATGAACACGAGGTTTAGAATAGAGTGTTAAGATTTCAGATAATTCACTTAATAGTTAATGATGACTTCTATTACCATGGATACAAATCACGTTTTTGTCCTTTCAGTGACAAAAGAAAGCTGAAATTGAGACGATTTTGGAATTTTAATTCAGTTTAAACTGAATTTAAATTCCAAAATCGTTAACTTGATAAAATGCTTTACAGATAAATGATCAAAATGCAATGGGTGTGTTTGTTTGTGCACACGCGTTCGTGTACGCGCTCACGTGCAATGCACCACCAGAGGAAAGATCTCTGGACGATTATTTCACTGGCAATTAACGCTAAATACATGTAATCACAGCATGTAATGCACTTAACATTTTCAGACAAATATGACCGATAAGTCTGATTTGATGCGGTTGCCTTGGCAACTGACACCATCTACTTCATAGCTACACAAAGCAGCAGAGTGTACATACGAAGAGATCATCAGAGTGTTCGATTTGACAGCAATTATCTTGAATAAATATTTCGACAAGATAAATTATTGTGTATTCATGTTGCTCTGTTGAACGTGATATGGTCGCTAGCACTCATGAATGAAGGTGTGAATATTGAGAGAGATAGGGGGAGGGGGGGAGAGAGAGAGACAGAATATTATTAGCCAGAATACCACTTATAAAAAAATTGTTCAAGTCAGTAAGCGAAAGCGGAAAGAAGAGGAAGAGAGTAGACGAATAAAAAGAACATAATAAAGCAAGAAAAAGAAGAGAGAAAGAGTTGGATAAACAGTTGGATATATTGCTTTTGAGATAACAATTTCTCAAGTCCACTTGAGTTTAAATAAACTGTAAATAACATAACATCAATTTGCGTCT